CATGGTCACTATTTAACACAATTTAACACAATTTAACACAATTTAACACAATTTAACACTGCTTAAACACTTCACCACATATTAATATTATATTCCAAGCTCTCTCCCCGATGTTTCTGTTTGACTTATGTATTATATCTGCAGTTCTTTGCCATTGATTTGTGTGTGTTAACTCAATTAATTGTTCATAAAAGTTTTAGATTCAGATTATATTTGATGTAATGGGTTCAAGTAATTGCGGACAAAGTTCACTATGCGTTTACCGTGTTTGGGTACCCATCATATTTTACAGCTGGGGGCAATATTTTCGAACGGTTCTGTTTTATGATCATTAATTATAATTGCTGTACTCAGTAAAATTTGAAAAGTATTTAATAAAAATTACTTTCGGCGATTAATGGCAGAGTTACTGTTAAATATCGTGTGCACCAGTTCAACCATTTTAATGTCTGACTTTTCGACAAATGATGTCCATTGATTTTCATAAAGTTGCGCAGCCCTTTAATAAAACGCAGCTAGTTATTAAAACGTTTACTCGATGACTGATCAGCCAATAAAATGTTCAGAAATTTAGACTGATGCTGCTGTTCAGATGGTCTGGTATGCAAATGAAAATTAAAACCCCTTTGTAAATTGTAGAACTGTTTTCAAAAGTTTCAAGTTCATTTATCTTTTGTCAGATTGCACCTTAGCGTTTTATGATTTGTTTAAGGTACACACAACATCGTATTCCACCGAATAAACAAGACCGCTGGACCGCACGAAGTAAGTGGGAACGACTAAAGCTCCGTCTAATACTAATAATTAGCAAATATAATAAGTGTTCGAAAACTCGTTCGACTTCGACACTGTTTCACTTGTTTATTTTCATCTGTTTTCTGTTAGTTCTTCTTCGATCTAGCAGTAGCTCTATGAGGCGGACTTATAAAAGTACGATATCTGATCTGTGATTCATTTTTTGGAGCCTTCGCGAACAGTATATAATCTATCTGGCTTTTGTTTAAAGTAAATCTATTTTGCTTCTAGTTACCGTTCGTGTTATTGTTTAGTTCACACTATAAAGCATTGGTTATCATCATCATGTGAAACTACTCTCCGCAATTCCAGAAATTAGTATGTAGAGCTTTCAGTGACAATAAATATATCTACCTTCCGCAACGTTAAATTGGTTGTTTAGCATTTACAATTTACAAAAGCTTTTAACGATCAATTTCGCCTTTCATGTGATGGATTTTACAGTGAAATCAGTAAACAATCTAGAAAAAGAGTTCACCAAGTATAACCTCGATATTCGCAAAGCTTTGAAAGAAGCCAAGGTTACAAATTTTCACGACATGAACCCCATCGCGTTGATTGATCTAGATAAGGATATTCTAGTCTCCTTTATGGAATCCCTAACGAAAATGATCAACTCAAGTCTTGAACTATGTAGATCAGCTGCGGAAACAATTGACGATCTAAAAACTAAGCAAGTTGAAAATCAGGGAAAATCGATTAAACTACAAGAGGAACTATCGAGTGCTGATACTGAGAAAAAAGAAAAGAAGAGCTGGAGCGACACTGTGAACAACAACTCAGCAACCACAGTGGCCCCTGTGAACAAAGTTCTAAAATCAGCCGTCAATAACAATGATCGCTCCGAGAACTACCTTATCTATGACGCTGAGGATGAACAGGATGAAAACGCGACTAATGATATGCTTGTTGATACTATTCTAAGTACTACTGAGTTTCTTTCGAGTCTCTTATCAATGAGTCAAACAATTCGTAGAGACAATTAGGGCTATCAGCACCAATTAGTCGTCATCTTTAAATTATTTCTTATTCTCATTGTATTGCTGTGTAAATTGTATCTTAATTTATTTAACTTGATTATAGCTGGTTTAAATTTTTACTCTGAATTCAGATATTTTCAACGCACAAAAACGAGTATTTATCCGAATTACCTTTACAGGTTGATACGATTTAATTCCTATATTTCTCTGTGACATTAAAAAATAATTTCACAAAAACTGAAAATACCCTGTTCATCTTTCTTGCTATGTCTTGGTGTATTAGTGGTTGTACTCTCATACGGTATGAGGTCACGTTTTACGGATCACATGACAATGACGCCTTATAAGGTAATGAACACCAGTATATACCGTATTTTTTATTAATATTTAACCACTAGTATTTACTGAGGAAAGCTATAATACTATTGTTCTGGTGTTCATTACCTTATAAGGCATTTTAACCTTTAAATTTAACCGCAATTCAAAATGAACCTATTATTAGTTAAAGTGGAATGACAAGGCAGCGCTTCAATCCCGCTGCTTTGCGCAATTGAATCGGAGTGATTGTATAGTATCTTGATGCTTGGGGAATTTTTGTGGTATGATGATAGTTGTGTACTATTCTACATTGATCGGGCTTCACAATTCATATTTTATTCTGAACTTTCGCTCTATATACTATTCCCATCGACCGTCTGGCGTTTTCTCTTGTATACAAGTTTCTTTACGTGTCTTTCCTAATTCCTTACAATAACCACATTGTATCACAGTGTCTAATAGAACTACTGTATCATTTATATGCCATCTATTATAACCCGTCCTACTTTCGTCTTTCGCAGAAAATATCAGCGGTTCAATTTGTGCAGTCTTTAGCTAAAAAGTCGCGAACTACCAAACTAAGCTCCCGTCTGAACAGTTTCTGGACTCATCATAGTTCTTTAAGCGTTAACCAACTGCTCCACGACTAAACGTGTTTGACCCAAATTTATATAATCAAATATGTAAAGTATAATATGTGAATATACAGGGTGGCCCAGAAGTAACTACACACATGCAACTCCAAAATTTCCAGATATTTGAAGTGCTTTCCTAAAATTTCAAGTTGGTTGTTTAAAACTAAGACGAGTTATGACCCTTGTTGATACGTGACCTCTGCACTTAATCAGTAATTTCGTCACCTAATCCCAACTCAAAACGTCCTCACTTTATGGTGACAATAAAGATAAAGAGGGAGTGGCGTGCTACAACCTCTGTAATCGATGAAATTTTACGACATTTTCAGGAAATCTAAGTTTGACCCATATTTATATTATCTGAAATTTGTAAGCAATTCTGATACGAATTACGTGAGTTATTAAAGGGTTGCGTGTGGGTAGTTACTTCTGGGCCACTTCTTATTGGTAAAAAATCATATTGAGACCCCATAAAATTCAACAAAGGAACCAAACTTGCGATGCTGCACTCGATTAATGGTTAATAAAATGCAATATTCGGATATTTTGAACATTGTTTCTCTGCGGTACACGTACTGTATTTCGACACGCACTGTAGTTCGAACTACAGTGCGTGAATCCTTTCTGCCGTTTTCTGACAAATGTGCTTACTGCTTAAAGACCATATTTCATGAAATTTTGGATTCTCTTATCCAAATTTCACTGAGCATTGAAAAACCGTCAGAACCAATCCCCGGCCTCCAGAAACCTCCTTCAAAAAATGTGACATAAGTGTTTAAAAACCTTGGATTTTAAAGTGAACCCTTTTTCAGAAAATGACAGATTCATTTGTTACATTTTTGTCGTGTTGAACGTTGACTTTGAGTATTCGAAACGTCAATTTTTGAACATTCAACGTTATTACAACGTTACTTCGTGATGCTGGTCATAGCGTTGATTTCCACATGAACTCTGCATGACAAACGATGGAGATCACACGATAATACACACCACAAGTATATCACGTGTAAAGTCGAATGGAGATGCTTCAAAACTCTGCTGTGTTATTTTCATCAAGTATACTCTGTGTCCACCGTCCGGCATACATAAATTTGCCGCATATCGTATATTAGTCGCACATACGTCGTATATTAGTCGCACATTAGTCGCACAAATCAAACCACCAGAGTTCCCGTGGGTTAACTATATGTTTACATGTCCGGGAACAGATTTGATCAAATTAGTCCCCCCAAATCATAAGTTCGAGGGCACTAGTTTATTAAATGAAACTGCGCCGAGCAGTTTTATATTTTACATATTGTGTAATGTAACGTTTAGTAACGCGATTTCATAGCTCCAGTTCATGCATAATGTAATGAATTTGCTCTTGTACCTACCGTCCTACCTACCAGGAGCAATATAGGCCGGGCCTAATAAAAGCGTTTAGTTATCTACTTCTATTGGTGTATAAGCGTGTGGTATATTTCATGATAGGTACACGGCTTGTTGCACTCAACTTTCCAGATTAATGAAAGTGTTTATCCCTGATGTATTTGCTTGTGATGATCTTATTTATAGTCTGGTCGTTGGACTTTCCTAGACTAATATTAGCATGTCATATGTATTATTCATAGGAAAATGGTTCACCGCAATTTAGTTTGAACTTCAATTTCTACCATTATATACTTAGTTTCATTTCCCGGAATCACAAAATTTGTTGCGCTTGCTCTGTTACGTTGTTGGACGTTGGTAAGCTTGATTGACTTACATGAGCAATCCTATTTCAAGTCTCTTTGCTTTAATCTTAATTTAAGTTTTGAGTAGGCGACCGGACGAAGCAGGCTTTTTTACGTGGTGCTTTTTTTCGCCCCGAAATAGACAAATATTCTGAAGAAATAGACAAATATTCTGCAGAATTCTGTTGCCGTCTGTTTTGTTGTGAAAATAACTGACACCATTCGTTTTGTTCCCCTGCACACTTTGTGTCGAACAAACCATCAAGTCTGGATAGTCTGGATGTCAATGTATAAATTGTTTTAACCTTAATTAATGGTTGGGTTTTTCCTTTAATCGGATTAGTTTCAAGAAAAGCCGCTCCAATATACAGCAATACCAACATTTATTTGTCACCCATGTGTCAAATGTCACCCATGTTCAGAATAACATTTTGGTTGGTTTTTAAGTTTACTTTTAGAGTGATGAGTCATGTATTTAGTTTAGCACAATTCTTTATTTATACATTTGTATACTTCACCATCATGATACGTTCACTTTTATTATTTCAAACAGAAATGACGAGAAAAGTTGTGTTCCTTGTTTTTTGTTTCCTTCCAGCTGCAGCATCTTTGTCCTGTCACCACTGTACCTCTGAGAAGCTCAATTTGCAAGGTAATAACATTTTCTTTTTCTAATCATTTTCACGGTTCAATAATAGGTGCTCGCGTAGCACAGTCGATGTTTCACCTTTTGTATATTTCACGCATATAATATATATATATGCATACAAAATATATATATGCCTTAACTCGAAAATATTTATATTTACAATGTCTATTTACCACGCGACGTAGACATTATTTACAACGTAGACAATACTGACAATGTAGACAAAATTTACAACGTGGTTAATATTGAGATTCAGATTGTATGAAAATGTGCGGCGGCTTTACTATTCATATATTTGACTATTGGATTTTTACAATGCAAATTCTCTCACTGCGTAAGGTAGTTCATTCCACATTTTCCAAATTCGATGTTGACAATGTTGACAATGTTGAATTCAGGCTGTTTAGAAGAAGGAGACTGTGGACATGGAAGTTGTAATGATACACGGTACTCAACTTGTTCAGATGGGGACACGTGTCTTACTCTAATTTACACGTAGGATCATTATGAATGATATTATGTTAATAGAAACATTAAAGTAATGTTTAATAAAATGCTTATGAGTATTGCTGAAAGCACAGTGTAATTAATGCTAATGAATGTAAATGTTAATGGTTCTATTCAGAATCTACTCGAAATATTTACTCGATAATAAGATTAATGCCTATATTCTTTAGCTAATTTTGTAATGCCCAGGAACGAGACAGGAGCAACACTAGTTAGAAAATGTGTAGATAGTCGCATAGATCCCTTCACGCACTGCGACCAAATCAGTCTTCAGCAAAGCCGACTAGGCATATGTACGTGACAGTGGGTTATGCATAACAATACAATATATATTGTATTGTAGAATGTGGCTTGTACTGAGTTTGTCAGTAGATTGCTGCTGCATGTTAAAACTAAGGTTGCATTTTTATTGTACCTGAAGTTAATGCATTTGAGCGATTGAGCTTGTTTGATTCTGCACATTCTCCCTAAGAGCCTGTATATTAAATCTTTAGTACTGCGATGTGATTTAACAAATTCTGTCCCAGGTAACACGTGGTTTTGTTACTCAGATTATTGTAACAACAGTAACAGTGCAGCTTACTCCAGTACGCTACTACTACTCGCTTTATTCCTAACCATATTCCTTTTCGCTAAATAACACAAGAGAGCACGTATTAATTAATCCAGATACCCAACCATCAGAATAGACCGCGTCTTCCGTCCGTAAGGAATGGATTGACGACGACGACTCAAGTGAAAGAACTGCAGAGACTTCTTGAATGGTAACCACATATTGAAAAGAAAGAGAAAGAGAAAGAGAAAGAGAAAGAGAAAGAGAAAGAGAAAGAGAAAGAGAAAGAGAAAGAGAAAGAGAAAGAGAAAGAGAAAGAGAAAGAGAAATAGAAAGAGAAAGAGAAAGAGAAAGAGAAAGAGAAAGAGAAAGAGAAAGAGAAAGAGAAAGAGAAAGAGAAATATAAATTTCTTGAGCGTATGAATTCTTGAGGAGCATTATTATACGAGAAAGATTGAGGGATGAGACATCCATAATATTTGTAAATTCCGATAGATTTTTTATTTGTGTTCAGCCTGAATTTATTTTACAGTAATTATTTCAACAGAACAATAATATTCTTATCATATCATTCTTAATATGAAATAAGTATTTTATTTTATTTACTACTAGACCGAAGTATGACTGCAAATTTCTTTCGACATACCTTCCCTAATTTCTCGTGATATAAGATCAGAGTATTCGACGCCATGGCTATAAGTATAATCAGAATATGATGATGGTAAATAATCTCGAAAATTGATCACTTCTAACATAGCTGGTAGGATGGCGAGGTCAGGCGATAATAACAGAATAAATATATTAACTAAATTTGCGGAAAAAACTGCATAACTACTCATCGTTGGAGATTTGTTTTTAACTGAAGTCACGTGGTGTATCACAAGCTAACTTTCGAAATATTTGTGCTTGAGATACACCGCGTGGTAGAGACGTATATGGTAGAGAACTCCAAAACGGTCAAATATATTATGTCGTTGAACTACTTCCACGATATAGTTATAACGTTTTTGTTCAAGGTCAGGAAGAACTTAAAGAACAGCATAGGAGTTAGACTTAGAGTCTATGAACCAGATTATTAAATTTCCAATTAAATTTGTTAGAGCTAGCTGAAGCATTAAGAAGTTTTGGACTGTTAATGTACATTTTCATTATTAAGAGCGGAAACACTATAAAACAGTTCATGCATCCCTTTTGTATATACAAATTAGCTTTTAAATATCGAATCAACCTCTGATTAAACTTTTTAGAGCAAGGATAGACTCTCTAATTTTCCATTTCTCTCGTGCATTGCATTGAAAAATTAAGGAACGCTTCGGCTTAGAGATCAAACAAAAAAAGGTAACTCTCCCAGGCCCAAAATCAAATTGTAGCTATTATACTTAAAATTAAATATCATTATATGCAAGTTATCCGGGAGGCTTGATTGGGCCTAGGGTTACCGAATAATTCGGGGAATATTCAATATACAGTGTACAGCATTATTTTACCGGACTGAATTTTGTCTCCGGTAAAGTGATTAATTAGGAAGTATTAAGTTATGTATTCTATATACCCCCAAGCCAAACAATAGCGTTCCTTCGTAATAATCAATCAATCACTACGAAGTAACACTATTGTCGTGGTTAATTACTCAATCACAAAACTGCTACATCTGATTACATGTGAAGGATCACGTGACGATGCAACATGACACGTGCAGTCAGTCGGTCCTGTGTCTTTTGGGTCACGTGCCTCTTCAGAGACTCTACAACTCTTTGGTACGTCACTGATCACATGACTAGACAGTAGACCCAATTTTCGTTTATCTTTAACGAGGTAACCTGAGACAACCTTACGATAAACTTGGATAGATATAAACCTCTCATATCTACCAGCTATCATCAGTTCTTCTTCTATCAATCAGTTATAACTTCTCAGTATACCAGAATGGACCAGAGTACCATGATGTACCAGAGGATGTACCAGTTTTACGCTCCTGCTCCCCCCTCCCCGATGACTCCAGAGTTTAACCAGGTATTCGTCCCCCCTCCACCCTACCAAGAGAACATTCCACAAAACCACTGCTACAAGGCGGGTGCAAGGATTGCACCAGCTCACTCACTTGTCTTTCAGTTCCCTTACTTTGCTCAGGAAACACCCAACCTTGATTCTACCTACGAACATGCCTACTGTCATAACCTCATATTACCCCGGCCTGGGGCGGATTTAAAGAATTCTACTGAAACACAGACCCCGCCTGGATCCTCAGACAATATGGAGACTCCGTCCAGGTCATCTGAAAATGAACGTGCTAAGAGAATTAGAAGTTGGTGGAGAAAATTGGTGCAAAAGATTACAAAGAAACGTCTGAAAGCTGTTCTGAAACCTCGGTCTAAATCAATGAGCTCGGTATTGAAGCCACGAACAAGATCAATAAGTTGCGATGATTTATATATTGTCCAGAGGAAACCGGAAACCCAGTCTACCACTACACCAGCTGCTCAGTTCTTGAAGAACCAATCATCTCCGGTAAAAATACCAACTCCTGGAGTCTCCTCCAGAAAACACCCCTTGTTAACTCAGGATTCCCCCAACTTACTAACTACGATTAAGAAGTCTGTTTCCTTTAGTGATATCACTACCAATAGTGTTCTTCCTTTTAAAGAAGGTGGAAAGGGAGTGGTTACAAGTTCGTACATCGTCAACGGTTATGTTTTCACCAAAATGTAAATTTTACTTGGTGTTTTAACTTTTAATCGATATTTTGTTGATACGTTTAAGTATTGAGTTTTTGGTATTTGTTCATGTATGTATAATATGTGTTAATTTTTGATTTTACTCAAAGAATCTTTTTATCTCTAGAAAAATACATAATATCAAATCGCCAAGTTTGAGATTTCTTACATACGATACCCACTACCCAGTACCCTTTGTGACAGGAGTAACAAATAGGTTGTCAATCTAAAGATTCCTACCTGTTCTCTGGGCAGAGCTCCCCGTCCAAATATAGGCTCCAGGAATACCCACTTCCTCTGAATCTGGTTCAAGTCATGTAGATACGAATCAAGAGACGCAAGCCTCGTCTCCCACAATCCAGCTTTATCAGCAAATCCTACATAATTTTATCATATGACTCATCTGGTTTTAACTTGTGAGCATAATCTTTAAAACCATTGAATAGCATATGATTTAATAGCCTGATATTAATTATCAAAATCATGATAATACACTGACAACACACTGATAACACACTGATAACACACTGATAACACACTGATAACACACTGATAACACAATGATAACACACTGATAACACACTGATAACACACTGATAACACACTGATAACACACTGATAACACACTGATAACACACTGATAACACACTGATAACACACTGATAACACACTGATAACACACTGATAACACACTGATAACACACTGATAACACACTGATAACACACTGATAACACACTGCACAGTACCTTTGAAATAAGGGCTGTCTTTCAGGGACTGCAGTAAAGACTGGTGGTCCCCGACTTGAGTCAGCATTTCCTTCCAATCCTTGATGATCTGTACCTCCAATCCGTTGGTGTCATCATACTTTGATAGTGAGAACACGGCTCCTGCTCCCCAGACCTGTATTTAATTAATAATAAGGAATTAATTTTCATTGATATCACACCAGTTTTCAGTCTTTTTATCTCAACCACATCTCATGTAGTTCCCCTGAAGTCCTCCTTTAAAATAACAATCCCCACATATATCTAGCCACACTCACCTCCAACTCAGTAAGGGCGTCTCTGATGGACACCTCTCCCTGGGCTCGACTGTTCAGCTCTTTGAGCGCGTCCACATTGTCTATTATCTTATCAGACATGTTGAGCAGCTCGGAGACTCGTAATTTGGCAATGTCTGTAGTCCGGGGCAGACCTGTTTAATGGAAGTTTAATGAGTGATAATGAGTGAGATATATTAACGGTGAATTTAAGTGCAATATGTCCTTGTTAGGATTCAGTATTCCAGTATAAATTATTGTGAATGTAGCTAATATTAAAGCACTTGGAGCCTCTCTCTAGGTCTCTAGAGTTGGTACACGATGTACTTTAACTTACCAATAATTCTGTAGAGTTCGACCCAGTGATTATTTGAAAGATGTTCTCCTCTGACGTACTTTAGGTAAGGTATAACGTCCTGTGTCTTCTCTATCTAAACAATACGTTTTTACTAAGCAGTATACTTATTATTCCAGAACAGATAATTTTAGTCAATATTTGGAATGTTTTTAGCTTTTTCTTCTTTCGATGTAATATTTCAGATACAAATTTTAAGGTAAGCAAAAAGTAGACCAAATACACAAGTTTATACAAATTTGACCACCCATACCTCTTTTTGAATCTTGACTATCATAGGAGTTGGTTCACCCTGAGCCTTGATCTCATTCCTCATTTTCTCGGACCAGGATATCATGAGGTCCTCAAGTTGATGGAGTGATCCTCTGAAGGAGACCCAGTCCTCCTGCACCAGTTTCTTCATTTCACTGGAATACTCCTCGTATAGCGCCCACATCTTCTCCTGAGAGAGACAGTGTCAATGAAAAGTTCAGGCATGTTCTCCCTGGCTTACACGTGAGACCGTGGGTGTAAATAAGTGTTAGAGGTTAAACAATAAACCAATTTATTACTTTGTCAATTCAACTGTAAATTTGAGAGTAAGGTCCCTTACGATTTAGAAAGATTTCTAATTATAATAAGAATCTAGTTACATGCTCGGTAAGTTGGGTGTCAAGCTGATCAATAGAATCAGATGGTGGTGGTTTGAGACCAAAGTGTTCACACTCTTCCACTATCTTCCCATACGCTTCTTTCACTTCCTGGAACTCTAATCGTCTTTCTTTCAAACCGTCTATTGTTTTCTGAAAATTTCACAATAGTTCACATTTACATTTAGATTCTCTTACAATCCTTAAACGTGGAATGATATTTTTATAATTTTTGTTCAAGCTGTAAAATAAAAGCAGCTGAGTACTCACAAGTGCATCGCCTTCAAGGTCTATATTCTTGGGTTTCAGTTGATTCCACCGAGCAGTGAACTTAGAGAGCTGACTTGCAAACTTCTTAACGTGGGCCTTCGTGTTGCCTCTCATAACCTCCACCTAGAAATTGTGAGTAATTAATTAATCAGTAATTATCTAATTCAGATAATTATTTCTCTGTGCTTCCTCTAGTTCGATAACTTGTTCAACTAGAACAACTAGAACCAGAATGTAGGACAACACTTCACTAAAACAGAAACACGTGACCTGATAATTTAAAGGTTTTTATACAGAATGCTTAGCCTTAAGTTACCTGTTCCTTGATCATAAGTTCGTGACTTTCCATCAAGAGCTCCAGCTTGTCCCACTTCGTCTGGAGCTCTGTTATTTGTTCCACCCCACTTCCTGCTACGCTCCGGAGCAGCCTGTTCTTCGTATCCGCTTCCTGGTCATTTCAAACACAGGTTAACATCTTGTGATTTCACTCAAAATTGTAAAGGACATTTTCAATTGGCGCTGCTTCAGTATCTTTGACAATTTGTTAGCTGTGGAATTAAATAAGGAATTAAGAAACTTTGTAAACAAAAACTGGTAATTTCCTCAGGCAAATTACTACTAACCTTGAAAAGGGGCTGTACAGAAGGTTTATTAGCGGTTAGTGCTGCGTGTTCTTTGTTAGCTGCTCCCACTTCTTCAACCTGCAATATAACTGTAAACAACACATCTTATAACAAGAACAATTACTTAATATATAATGATTCAGATGATGTTAATTAACGTAAACAAGAATCGAATCTACGACCTATGCTACTTTATCTTCTCCAGAGAAGACCAAGGAAAAATCACAACCTCCAAGTTTAAAAAAGATATCTTACGGTTTGAGGACGTGTGGTGAGAATGTCCATGCCATCAATAATGAACTTGTCAATAGTGTTGATGTCAGACATGGCACTGCGTCTCAGAGTCAACAGCAGAGTGTCCATTAGAGTCTGAATGTGGTCATCTATAGTGGCTTTAACTGGAGCTGTGCTGACTGTCAGGCAGTCTACCTTTATCTCACTGGGGGAGATGAGTTGAGTTATAGGTGGGGTTTAGATTTACACAACAAGATACAAGGGCAGGTCTCTCCCGAACGTTGGGATGGCCTGAGGTGCTTATCTCATTTTCAGTAACCCTAAGCCACTCTGTGCCGAGGCACTATACTAGCTGTAAGGGGATTATCCTACGAGCCAGAGGGTGTGTATCACCAGCCGAAGCTGTACCAAATCACAGCTTGGTAACTGGCCGACTTGCATCCGACCGGATTTGAACCCGGGTCTTCTGCTTGGGAGGCGATCGTGTTACCACTACACCACCCGGCCGGTTTAGATTTACCTTCTTTAATTAGGTACTTTGAGCAAGAAAATCCTCAGTAGCAGCCTTTGTTTGTCAACAAAAAACTAATTAATTCAAGGTTGACAAAAAAAACTTATCGAAGTTACTCGACAGTCGACTATCAAAGAATTATGCTTCTGTTAGCCGTTAGACCCTATATAAACAAATTATTTAGTTTCCTTACCTGGGCAGTCGCTCAGCTTCTCTTCCCTTCTGTTTCAGAGCCTTGAAGTTCAGTTCCCAGTCAGTGGTAGTTGTGAGGGTCTCTCCTATCATCATCTCTATATCAATATTACCCAACACTACCCACGGTTTGAACTGATCCAGCACTTTAGCCAGCCTCTGGGGTAAGTCTGGTTTTTATTTCGCGGCAATGGTTGAGGAAATAAGCCATGTAATAGGATATATTATTACTATATCCGCGTATACTAGCGTTTATCTTTGATTAACTACGCAAATATTTCGTTCGAGTTTTGGCTTAGTTTATTTAATTAAATAATCAGGAAGAGAGGAATACCTGGAATAAGAATTCAGCTTTAGAGTATACAGTGAAGAAATGAGTTGCATTTCTGTCGATTATAGCAGGGAAAATCACCTTCCCTTCCTCGTTACTGTAAAATTCAGTTAATTATACGGAGTATTTTGAAGTTTCAGCTGAACTTGGCAACAAAATCACGTCACTTTCTTTTTCGATTTAGTAACCTTTTGTAAGATAGATTAACTAGCAGTTTAAAACATACAATAGTGAGCGTTGCCGCAATTTGAACCTATGAAACATTACCTAATCGGAGCGTCCAGTCCTTTGAAGTGGTTGGGGATACAAAGAAACTTCTTCATCTCCCGATAATACTTGGCTTTTACTTCTTCTAGTGGTGGTCTGAACCCGAGCTGGCCTTGCCGGTACACTATCTGTGGAGACAAACATCAGAATTAACTTGTGATTTCGTTTTCAGTAGATAAGTGACAATTTTGAGCAGTTTAAGAAGTTTTAGGATGGTGTGTGACTGTAACGGGTCCGCATGACTGCAAAAGTCAGTACGTTTAACGCCTCGAGGAAGATCGCAGGATTCTTAGTCTACGCTACTCTTTTCATCATGGCTACGACACTCAATTTTGGGACATGGAATGTTTGCGGTCTATCGACCACATACAGGCAACACTTCGTTGCAGAGGACATTGACAGATATAACTTAGACATTTTAGCACTTCAGGAGACCAAGACACGTGAATACTTGGAAACAACACTCCCCGGACATCATCGATTGTTTTTGTTTGATCAGAGACACGATAGACACGGTGGACTTGGGTTTATTGTTAACAAGCGTTTTTTGGAATGTATAGTATCTCATCATCAGATCAGTGACAGAGTTGTTTATATGGACTTTAAATTAAGTGCTAAAAGGGTGGATCAACCACCTTGTCATATCAGAATTGTTAATTGTTACAGCCCTACGAATCCCAAATCAGTTCAGAATCCCCGATTAGCGACCCAATTTTATGATGAGCTACTCGAGGCTATCAGTGTTCCTGCTAGATTTGAAGTATGGATGTTAGGTGACTTTAATGCCAAACTTGGCAAAAGAAGCCCTGTTGATGTAGAAAATGGTTTACAAGTGAATATTGGTAGACATGGTGTTGGGAGGAGGAATGAAAACGGTGAAAGGTTGCTACACTTTCTCACTGCTAATGGCCTGTTTGCTGCCAACACTTCATTCTCCCATAGAAGCAGACACATTACCACACGGACTGGTTGGATTCGGGATCGAGCAACCAGGAAAAGTAAACCTTATTTCCAACAGATTGACTTCATACTCTGCAAGTCCAGAAGCAAGGCACTGCTAACTGATGCCAGGTCATATGCAGGTACAAAGCACCGCAGTGACCACAAACTTGTTGTTGCCAAGGCAGATTTTTCGCAGCGCTTCAATTTGTACAGGGAGAGCAGAGCATTTCAGAAGAGTTATAACACAACAACCTTGATTGGAAGCAAACAAGCTCAACAAGAATATCAGCAAGAACTTCATCAGATACTTGAGCAAACTGTATCAGATCCTGACTTTAGCTCCAACAACACGGAACAGCAATTTGATATGCTTTTTGGTGTAGTTAAAGAAGCTGCTGTTTCCACTGTGGGTTTTCGCGAGCCACAGCGAAAGAGGAATCATTCCTCTGACAGTCAAGTTGTTTAGCATGTCTGAAGAAAGGAAACAACTTTTACAACAACTGAACAACAACGAATACAGAGACAGGACAGCTCTCAGAGCTAAAATCAACAGGCTCTCTAATGACATTACTAAACGGTTGAAAACATTGAGAGTTGAGTTAGCAAACAGCCTAGCTGACTCTATAGCCACCATAGACGAAGGACGGAGAATGTTTGAAGCTGCTCGTCAACTATCAGGCAAACAGAAAATGGGTGCAGGCTCTGTGTCTGTTTTCAACACTGACAACCAACTGGTAGATAATGAACGAGACAAGGCTGAAATCATTCGCCAGTACTTTGAAGAACACTACACTGGACCTGACAGTGAACCACCACTACAACCGTTCACAGGTAACCCTAGGCCCCTTCAAAACCCCATTACAGCGTTTGAAGTTGAGCTTGCGGCCAAGAAACTCAAGAACGGTAAAGCTGTTGGACCAGATGGGATCCCAAACGAGTTCCTCAAACACTCTCCTGAAATCTTTTATTCCACATTTGCACAACTTACTAATCGATCTTTTGAGCTCCATGAACATGTACCTTCTTTCACAGAGGGATACCTTACTCCGCTCCAAAAACCTGGAAAGCCACTAGGCCCCCCTAAGAGTTTGCGCCCACTTTGCCTACTTAACGGTACTAGAAAGATATTGTCCATGATAGTCTTAAAGCGCATCCAAAGGCAAGTATCTCAGTACACTGGTCCTTGGCAGAATGCCTATAAACCTGGCCATAGTTGTGCAAATATCGTTTGGACCCAGCGAATACTAGTATCAGTTGTCAAGGAAAAACGCTGGTCTCTTCATAAGATGGGCATTGACATGTCCTCTGCTTTTGATACCATAAAGAGGTCGGTATTACTTGACATTTTAGCTGATGCTGGTTGTAGTGAGGATGACATTCGACTGGTAAGGTATTTGCTCGCAAATACTGACCTGAAGATCAAAGTGAACTCAACAATATCGGGAGAGTTTATTGTCATGATTGGAGCTTTTCAAGGCGACAGTTTGTCTGGAAACTTGTTCACTCTATATCTGGCAGCAGCACTTTACCACCTGCGTGCTGTTATGTCCTATCTAAGACCTAACCCTCCCATAGCTGAGAATCTGTTACCCCTCGAGTGGGAGTACGCAGATGATGTTGATTTTACTGATGAGGATAAAAGCAATTTGGAGTCTTTGTTGCCAATATGTAAAGAGATATTGGAAGAGTGGAATCTTTTTGTCAATGAGTCAAAAACCGAGTTCACCCACTTCTATCTGGCCGGCAAGAACGAGGTTGATAACAAAGGAGAAACACTCAGAGGTAGAGAACCTTGGAGGTCATCTATCTCTTTAGGCTCTAAGTTGTGTAGCATCGAAGATGTCAAGAGACGATGTATACTTGCTAACATTGCTTTTCAGAACTACAAAAAAGTCTGGGAACAAGGTAGACGTATACCCTTGAAGATTCGACTCAAGATATATGAAGCACAAGTTGTTTCAATACTGATGTATAATTGCAACAGTTGGGCAACATCTAAACAACTCCTTCAAAAACTTGATGTCTGCCACAGGAATCATCTCCGTACGATCATCGGCATGACCTACCCTAATGTCATACGAAATGTGACTCTATACAAACGCTGCGAAGTTGTACCACTAAGTGAGCGTGTTGCTCGTGCACGGTGGAGAATGCTCGGTCACATCCTCCGCAGTGATAATAACTCACCTGCCCAGCTTGCCTTACATTTTGCTGTAGAGAGTCAGAGTTTGATGAGAGGTAGAGTCGGACGACACCAGTCAAACTTGTTAAAAACTATTTTGAACGATTTAAGTGATAGAAACTTTAGACTTGTAAATACAGACGATTTATACCATTTAAGATTTTTAGCGACAGATAGAAAAGCATGGAGAGAGTTAAGCATGATTTAGTTTATTCTGTGTTATTTTTCTCTTGGTGACTTATCAGGTCATCAAGATGTTCTTTATGTTCTATTTTTGATTTGAATAAAGTTATATAATAATAATAATTAAGAAGTTATTTCTGAGATTTATTCATAGATTAAATAAGATCATCCTGGATCCTAACCTCAATCTTTATTTCAGATAGGTTGTTGTTGAGGTTCTCTAAGCCCATCTGATACTGATGTTCCAGTGCCTTGTACAGCTGTCTATCCCAGTGTATTCTCCATGGTCTCATGTTATCTTTAGAGACACCTGTGAGCAGATATAAGATTAAGTTAATTGATCAAATTTATTTTATCATTTTTTTACCCGCCATAATTTATTTACATCTGACTTTACTAGCAAAACATACGATTAAACGGGTTTGTGATGTTCTGAGGTAAAGCTTAGCTCGAAGAATTGGATCTACTCACCTGTAAATTGGAAACAAAACTTACTGATGTGACAAATAATCTCCCAGATTTAAACCAGCCAGAAATTGAGAGATTTTCCTTAAATATCTCAGCCAACTCAGCAGCAGATTTTGGTGTTTGGTAACGTGCTTAGACCAATCACACACTGCCTAGATGTTCATGTGACAAACTTGGTCTCCAAAATATCGCAGTCGCTGACGCTACAGTTACCCAGGTTTAGATCAGGGGTACAGTAGCACGTACCAGGACGGGTATTTACTTTGGGCTGACGAATTTAACTGAGGTGTGTTCACTCAGTTTCAAACCATCAATCCTCTCAGTTAAATCGATCACTAGTACTTATTTTCGTTTCAATAACTTTGTAAACTGCTAAATAGGCCTGCTGATAATAAGTTATCACTTTTAACTTAAGCCAGATCATGTTAGTCATTTTATTTGACGTATTTTATTATATTCATAAAAATTACCAAACCGTTGAGTGAACGATTGTCAAACTGATTTAGGCTTTTATTTGCTTATCTGAGTGAGTCATGTGATTCGCCCTCGTATATTAGGAAAGTACCACCCTAGTGTCCTACACCCGATTTAATTCATATAATATCAGTACACAGGATGGAATATTCAACGACCTGGATTACAGCAACAAAACCAGATTGGTATGATGAGGACTACTGAAACCACGCAGCTGATGTGACCTACGGGACTATCTGTTGTCTGTGCTTCCTTCTCGGGACGGTGGGAAACATTGTCAGCTTTCTGTATTTTAAGGCTAAGAAAAGAAACATCTCCAGCGTCATCTACATGGTGATAACTGCAAATGATGTAGTCGTCAGTGTGATAGTAGTCCCCGTTGGAATTTCTTTGTCAGAAAGAAGTCGAGGTATCGTATTCGGTACGATCCTGAGCTGTAACGCCTGGTTTTACTTATGGCAAATAGCAGTGTTACATATTGTCTTCTTAGTGCTATGCTTGTCTATAATTAGGACATTGTCACTGATAAGACCCTTCCAACCGCAGAAAATAAGAAATCTACTTAAAGCTATAGTGGTATACTTAACGCTAATTTCAGCTATGAGAATAGGATTTCATATTCAACTGGATACGGAATTCTCCCCTTGGTTGGCACGCTGTGCATTGTCTATCAAATCAGGCGGGACTGTTATCCTTATCCTGGAGATCATCAGTAACTTATTGTGCATAGTTCCAGCGTTCGTAGTTGCAACAAGCTGTATCATATCAGCTGTTGTGTTGCTAACAAGAAGAAATAAAATAGCACAGGGACAGGAGCTACAGCAATCCAGAAACACGGCAACAGTAACTATTTTACTGTTCGCTCTTGTGTATGGAGTATGCAATGTTCCCCTTGTCGTTGATTATATCTTAAAAACATACGCAAGGTACACTGATAACTGGGAGTGGTACCTTAATGTGTACCAGTTTGATACACAGTTGTACTACAATAACGCCATATTCACTGTTCTCCTAGCAGTAAACTCAGCAGCCAACCCAATCCTTTACTTTTGGAGAATGCTCAGGCTGAGAAAATTCATTAGAGGGATATTGAGACTGAAGAGAGGAAATAAAAATTGCGGCTACAAGTCCCCAAACATTGTTAACCAGCAAGAGAGAGGACTTGCAGCCGCAATTTTAGAGACTCATTTATAATTTCTACCATATTATTATATCTTGTGAACTAACATGCATTGTTATCTGAGCTACACGGTTGATAGTAGTGCGTTGTTGTACTGCTTATGATGTTGTTCGCTAGTTTTGTCTATTCTAATATCTAAGGAATTTATCGCAAAAACGTATATTCTGATCTCGGGTACTATAATTATAGTAGTGGTTTAAATAGTAAAACTGAGTTGGGGTTTTGCAAAATAGTGAACTACTGAACAGTGATAAATAAAATATACATTGTATTTGAACTGTCTGATTTACTGTAGTTTATTACCTTGTTGGTGAAGTGTGGTCATGATTCCTCTTATCTCATTCAGACTTTCCTTCCATCTCATCTGTTGTCTTAACAATTCTATACTCATCAGGTTAACCACCTAAAACATAAGTATCTCGGTCAAATGGAAGAAAGTTTCAGTAATATAACATAATCGTTTGAACCGTTAACGAGGCAACAGTTTGTAAATAATTTGATTTTTCTAATATCATTATTTAACCGAGTTTGAGCAAATGTTTACAATTTTCAAATCTTAATACAAACGGCCGTGTTTAGTTCAACTGACCTTGTCAGCAATGTCAAAATGACATTTCCTAAGTTTCCTGTTCTCAATAGTGAGTCTGTCAGCTGCACCCTGCAGTCTGTTGATGTAGGACTCTAACTCTGATGGATTATCCCACGTGACCTGTGTGTCAGTTAATTAATAATCATTAAATAAACAATTAAATAATTAAATTACCAAATTAAATTTATTCTATTCATAATAACATGTCAAATTAAGCTTGTGAGAACATGCTTCAATTCATTGCCAGATCATTATAATTTGATCAAAGTTCCAAATCAATGGAACAAAAAATAATGCCATGCTCTTATCGTTTTTATACATCAAACGCCGATCATGACTAGTAAGAAGCAATGACTATATGCTAAAATTTATTTCATGGAGAATGTTATAATGAAAAATCGAAATTGATAATTTAAATCAATAATACAACTAATTATATCAATAATTCAGTCCACAAATCTTACCTGAACTTTACTCCCTTTACCCTTGACTCCTGGTTTAGGGTTCTTAATAGTCTCCTCAAAGCTAACAGCACTGTCCAGCATCATCAGCTTCTGACATTCCAGCATCTGTTCGTCTATCGAGTTGTAGAAATTCTCAACCTGGTTGGCTTGTATTTTAGCGATTTTTAAAATTCAATTTTAAATTGAGTTCAATAATAAGGATGAAAACTTGCTTGGTTCGTTTAAAGCTCATTATTTGGCTACTTCCATCACAGAACTAGATCCGCAGATACATTTCAAACTTGTTTTCACGTGCAACAGATTGTAACAATTTATCTCCACTTTTACCACTTTAACTCCACCTCAAACTCACCTGTTTCAAAACCACCCCATGTCGGTAGAACTTCTGAGCAGTAGCTGCTACTCTCTGAATCTTAGTGGGAATTACAAATCCTAGTGCAGTGAGCTGTCTTACTTCTCTTAGTAAGGAGACTAGCCTCTCGCTGTAGAATACACGTAGCTTTCCTGGGAACAGTTATATTATGTGTATTCAAATTAAAATAAAATATGTATTGTATTCAATTAAATATGTATTTTATTCAATTAAATATGTATCGTATTCAAATTTTAATGAAGAAGTGATACTACTCTCATACCTTGATAACTTAAGGTAACAAGCTCTGTAAAAATTTTAAAATGGAAATGTGATTATTATTTAACAACTACTGACCATCAGAATGTGATAAGTCCATGAGTTTACCACCCATCTGAAGGGCTAGTGGGTTCTCTGTGTCTTCCAGAAGGTTCTCAACTTCACTCACCCATATCTCAACCTTCGATGAAATTGTTACCAGATACTTGACTTTAAATATGTATACGAAATAGGTAAACGAAAACACTTATGGATGTTGTGACAAAAAGGGCAAATTTTAGGAGAATTTCAAACAAGTTCCAAAACGTCCGGACGTGTTCAAATATGTAACCTGTTCGTTCATGTAAGCAGACATCTCCTGCTGTAACGCGCCGCACTCCCCAGTAAAGCTCTGGAACCCCTGAAGATCTCCCAAGATATTCACTGCAGTGCTGTTCGTGTCAGAGACTCTCCCTATCAGCTGTCGGACCCACACCACAACGTTAATCAGTTCGGGCAGGTTCTTACCAGTCTGTAGTGTGCTCTTATCTTTACCGTACCCTGGTTAATATTATAGAGGACATGTAATTGGGGACATGTTATTGAGGACATGTTATAGAGGACATGTTATTGGGGACATGTTATTGAGGACATGTTATAGAGGACATGTTATTGAGGACATGTTATAGAGGACATGTTATAGAGGACATGTTATAGAGGACATGTTATAGAGGACATGTTATAGAGGACATGTTATAGAGGACATGTTATAGAGGACATGTTATAGAGGACATGTTATTGAGGACATGTTATAGAGGACATGTTATAGAGGACATGTTATTGGGGCAAAAGTAATTGTGTAGAGCGCCTTGTAACTCTATCGTGGGTGTGATTTCCAGATCGGACCATTATATTTTATTGTTCGCATTTTATAATGTTAACTTCGGAACTTAGCGACATAATTAATTAATTAGTTAATTACCAGACGTGCGCTTGCTGAACTCGTCCTTGAGGGAGCGGACGTAGGTGAGAAGCTGTGCGAGCAGAGTTTCCCGCTCCGCTACAAGTTCATCTCGTACAGCTGGTCTCATTACGAGCTCTCTGTACCTGAGAGAGTGGGGGTTACATAGTTTACATATTTAACATATCATACATAGTTTAGTTACATATTCAGGGTAGTTATGTAGTGAGTTGGATCTGTAATAGTTGTACTAGGAGATAAACGACTGGTTTAAAGGATTTACCATCCAATCTTTCTCCAGAATACGATCAACAGTATCCAAGAATAAGCAGTAACAATTTAACTTTTGTCGTTCACAAACATGATCCACAAACCTCTGAAACTCTCTGAGAAGTTGATGAGGCTGAGCTCCGATCTCATGGAAATGCTTCTTTAGTTTTCCGGAGATCTTCTTCTCTGCTGGAACCATACCTGAAAGGGACACAGTAGCAATCAGGTCATTACTTCATTATTTGTATTGGATATATACTGTAAGTTATTCTCTTGCATCTTCAGCTATAAGAGGTAACCGCTAGTATAGTGCTCCAGAGGATTTCTTAAACCCCAGCTAGATGGTAAGTAACACGTAAAGCGTTACGTAACGCGTTACTTACCATCTAGCTGGGGTCTTATAAACTTGTTGTTTCAGGTCCCAATGTGTAGCGACTACCGTGCACTATAACATGATCTCACAGTGGTCTCAATGACGCTGAATTGTCGAGATGTTGTGTGTGTAAGTGCACAACAAGCATGTGTAACGTATCGCCAGCTTGCTTTTTACGTGTAACTAATATAATAACGTCATCTTGCTTGTTTGAAGAAACATCATCATCTCTAGCTAGTATCAGGCAGCCTAATTAACTTTACAACTTTATACCGTTGTAAAGGTTTTAAATAACCCTGCTAGAAGCACTGCACAAGATGAACAATTACTAATTATTAATTGAAAATTAGATAATGATTATTAATTAGTACGTACCTCTCTCGTATTGAGATACAGCAGCACGCCACTTTGTCAAGGTATAGGGAGTGTTGTAAAGAGAGTTGAGCTGGGAGAAAGGGGTGAAAGCGGTGGCGGTGTTCAGTTGTCCTTGTTCTGTTTCTGACAGTAACCTGGGTATCATAACAGTTACTTCATATAATTATATATCCCGACATAAGCATTGCTTATTAAGCAATCTGTACCCTGATCCTAAGTTATCAGGAAATTTAAAGGAATAATTTACACATTTCAAAGTGAAAAGTTGTTAAATCATCTACTAGAATAAAAACAAGTCTAGAGCTTGAAGACAGACCTGGTGAGCTGCTCGTGAACAACTCTAATGTTCAGTATCTCCTCCAACCGAACTGACAGGTCCTGGACACTCTTGCTGACGAACTTGTCTCCCAGCCATGGCTGTGCGCTGTACCTGGACACGATGTAGGGGTTAGTTTATCAATATGTCACAGGAATCACAGCCTTGTTTACCATTTGTAAGTTACAATACCGACTTAAAAGCTACCTTAGTTCGTGTTTGACTCTTCGGATAGTTTGAATTATACAGTGCACACATTATTATAAATTAATAAACGTCTTAAAACTTCAAACAAAAATAATAATTAAAGAATTACCGTTTCCAGAACTGTACAGTAAGCATATCGGTAGTCCTGTGGAACCTATCACACACTGATATTGCTCCGCCAAGAGTGTCTCTGATGTCGTGGTACTTGTCTTCCCAAACTGACAAAGCACTCAGTTCCCGTTGTATATACCTGAAAGGTGATAAAAAGTTAGTAAAGTGTTGGTAAAGTATTAGTTAAGTATAAGTATTAAGTATTAGTAAAGAAATAGTAAATTAACAGACTTTACCGTACTCTAAGTTCTAACAGACTCTTAAAGACTCTAACAGACTCTTACAGGCTCAAGATGATCGAATATGGAATATTGGGTCCACGGTATGTCATTATTTGTGACCTTATCATAGAGGACAATAATATCATACCACTGACTAAATCACAAATGTGAATTTCTAAAAGTGAAAGTGGGATAATATTAACCTTGTCCACGTGTCACCCAGAACCCTAAGCAGGTTCCTCATCCTGGCCTCGCCATATGGAGCTCCACTATCCGGCACCATCTTCCACAAGTCATCCAGATAGTCCTGTATCTTCTCCATGTTATCATGGCACCTATCTAGCGGGGTCGACTCTGGGGCGGGGTTTTCGTTAATTTATATTCTTTGTTAAGGTGAAATAAAGAGACCTCAGACTTATGCTATTGATAGAATAAGATGAGACTAAAGGGTTTAGAATATAAGAACTGAAAATATACAAAAAAAAACACTGGTGATACTCTAGGAATGGTAGTTTGAGAATTACCGAGAGATGTTATGTCGTTGCTGATTGGCTGCAGGAACTCCAATACCGACTGTGCCCTCTCTCGGTCTCTCAGTTTGTTACTCCTGTTAGCCAAGTTCTCCCAGTATGTCACTTCCTCCTTTACACTCTACGAATTTTTTTATATTGTTTACACAAACAAAAACTGGAAACAGTTGGTAAAGCCATAGATACCAACTTTTTGGAAAACTTGCTTTTAAATCTTTTTAAAAAAATCAAAGTTCAAAGATCAAAATACAAACCTGGATATCCTCTAAATTGTCAGAAGATGGGGCGAGTTTTTTGGAGACATGTCCAAGAGAGGCTGCAAGTTGAGACAGCTGCTTCTCTAACTTAGCATCAACTGTATTTCGTACCATCGGATAGTAAATCTAAAATTGTGAACGTGAATGATAACCAAATGGATCTAGACTTAAACGCACGAGTAGTCCAAACATTGTTTCTGAACAGAATAATTAATTTTAAATGTTGCCCCGGATGGATAGAATTAAAATATCAAATATTTAACATACCTTGCTAAGAGCAAGATAAAGAGCTTGAGAAGGAGTCTCTGTGATGGTCGTGACAGCTAGAGCGGAATTCATGTTCTTGTCATCCAGGAGGCATGGTTTGTTTTTCAAGAAGACAATCTGTTGAGCGTCGTTTTCTGCCACTTGGAGCTGCAATGACACTCCTGCAAATTTTATGTACGGTAAATAAAAATCAAAATAATATACATTTGGGGATCCAATACCGGAACATATGGTGGATATTTAGAAATGAGAAGTTTAGTGAAAACACATGAATGTACAACTATCATTTTAATCCTTAATACAAATCCCATCAGAAAAGTCTTTTAGTGGAATATTTGAAGGGGAATGAGAAATTACCTTGCTTAGCAAAGACACACGAAAGAAGAGGTGTAGCTGCATCATCACAAAACTTAGCAAGTTCTACTGAGGATTTGAATTCGTCCCATCCGGTTTCGGTAGGACAATATTTAGAAACTGTGTCGAAGATGAACCTGTATCTCTCATCATCTTCTGACATAGCTGAGTAAGAGTACAAGGCTCAGAAATCGCGGAAATTCTTAGGTTTATTTATTCATATTATTTTGAATTGAATTATTATACACAACTTTTGGTAACTGAGATGACATTTTCTTCAGCATGAGGTAACACCCAAGAAAAAACTTATCGACTGTAGATTGATCAACAACCATAAATAATATACAAATTCAAATAGTGTTGGTCCAATACAACTCCAATACAACTCTTTAAACATAATCGACTGTAATAGCTCCAATATAATTTAACAATGCATAATACCTGCAGCAACATATCTGTTGACTCTGTGAAAACTTTTTCATTTCAATTTCATGATAAGAAATATCTCAACAAAACAAGTCATTGAACGGATAAAATTTGATTTTCTCCCTTCCGCCACTCTTCTGACTGTGCCGTTAATGCTGAAGATATAACTCGACAAAATGCTGCGTGCACATTACTTCCATTCTCCATTGATACAATTTCGTGGGGCACCTTGGTCAGCATTGCCGGAACTTTCCCAACTTTTTCTGTTTCTGAGGACATCACGATATGTAGAAACAAAACGTTTTAAATGTACCAGTAGCACAGAGTTGAATTATAAAGTAAATTAAAAGAGTGATTGTTACTTAAACTTCAATGCCAGTTAAATGTTAATAAGAAACAATCAAGTCATGTTCAACCCACCTCCGACTTTATTCAGGAATACAGCACATTGAGACTCCTTGAGACCATGTTGAGCAGCAAACCTCAAGTACAGCATTTCCAGGAACTGGCCCTCTGAGTCCGGTATATCTACATTTGATACCAGTACAAGAGCTGCTGCTCCCCTTGCAATAGCGGGCCAGCAAGATTCATTTTGGGGATTACCTCCACAGTCCCACAACTCTATCTGGGAGAGCAGGAGATTTATAAATGTATAAATACTTAAAGTACTTGTTATAAAACCCCCCTTTTCATATCATGTGGTTCTGTCTAGAGCTAAAACAAGTATATTTTAGTAATTGATCATCTTAGCTACATTGTTTAAATGTATGAAACTGAAAGAAATGCATTGCAACTTACATCAACAGCTTTGGAATCAGGAAGATTGCAAGAGAATTCCAAAATCCGAACACCTGATGTTGGGTGGTATTCTCCACTGGTAGAGTCTGTGGCATCAGCCAAGTAATTTGCTAATGTCGTTTTCCCGCTGTGCGGTGGTCCTATCATTACTACTTTTGTTGCCATTTCCTTGCTATAGATTAATGATCACTGATCAGGCAATAATATCTCCATATTATAAAAATCTAGTAACCTTTTGAAGTATTGACCACAATTTCTTTTGTATTTAACAAGAAGAAAAACATGAATTTCGAATCTAGTCAAATTTCTCTCCAAAAACACCTGGCAAAGCAGGGAATTTCTATTAGTATATGATCTTGATTGGAAAACATTCAAATGCAATAAATTTCCCATCATTTGCTTGGTACCAAAAAGTAAAAAATACATTTTTACTAGAAAATGATGAATAGTTAAGATAAATAGAAATATTGCCATGTCAATAAAATAAAATATCTGTTCATAATCATTCCAGTATGGTAAATTAAGTTAAACATTTTATAGATATAAGGTCAATATCTCACAACTATCTCACAACTAAGTCTGCCATGTTTTCATTGATTGCTGTTCATACATGGCTAAATCAATAATCACCCTAAGAATACCACCAGTCAACAGGTCAAATACATTTAAATATGATTAATAAACAGCTGCAATTTAAATCGAATTGTGTTCATTTCATAATTCATCACCATAATATAAATCTATCTACCGCCCTGAACACGGGATATAACAATAACAGTCAGTAACTCAACAAGAGCTGGAAGTATGCAGGTAAAGGTAAAGCAATACCAGAGGGAAGTGACTGAGAGAGATTCTAAGAGAATGAATGCCAAAACTATTGAACCTATGACATGGCAGCAAGTAGAGATCATCCCTGTAGAGTAACTGAAGATGCTTAAACCTATAAACAGACTGAACATTTCCAGAACATTGCAAGTGATACTGAGAGACAAAGCAACAAGCACTTCTGTCTCTGTAGCTTTTCTGACATCTTCTGAGGCTCCAAGTGGTAAGGATGCATTTACTGTTGGCTCTTGAAACCAGAACAGGTTCATAGTGATGATGATCTGAATGATGAGTGAAAGGAATCTTGGCGGGAGAATTCTTTCCGCAATCGCCATAGCTGAAATCAAGTTCTGAAGTATGTTATTTATAACAGAAATAAGACTAGAAAGAAGTTACAATAACTCTACAGCAATGACAAAAATTACTTTTAAACCTTCGATGTTTTATAATATTATTAACGATTAAATATTGTCCAACCCCTAGAAGTGGGTGGTAATATACTCTTATAGCTGAATGCGTTCAAGTATTATACTTGAATGCGTTCAACCAAGAATGGGTTCATTGAATGCGTTCGTTAAAAAAAATATCCTTGAATTTTCTGTTTAATGTGATGAACATGATCGATGATCATCCCCGCGCTGCAGGATAGTGTCCTGTGAATAGGGGTCGTTCACATATATTACGTAATTATTTTTTGGAACATTTTTACCCCCCCCCCCCCTCCGTAAACAGTTTTACGCATAGCTATTGTGTCAAAATTAGACTAGCGTAACCATTCGGAAACCCCCCCCCCCCCCCCTCAGCTGATTACGTAATATGTGAACGACCCAATATCAAAACTCACTGGTGGTCGACAAATAACTTAACGGGTGATACTCGTAAAATATCTGTTCCATATAATATTCCGTCGACGAGTCCAACTCGGCGCGCGTCCTGGTAGGTTGTAAACCTACAACAAATAACACGTGAGTCTGAGAAAGATACAAGACCCTTACTATTATTCTGTGTCTTATTGCACATTTAGACCAATTAAAATCATCAACCAGAGTTTTATCAAGACAAAGAAAAGAAAAACTGAGGAAACAGAAATAGGAATTTCTTTCTCAAAGATCCAACTTACTCTACCATGAGTCGGATCATAAACTGAAGAACCACATAGACCAAGCAAGAGCGAATGAAGGGCCTTGCCATGGCTTTCAGAACTACCACTGAAGCCTTCATTGTAACCGATTATTTTAAGATTTTCAACATCATCATGAACAATGAAGCCTCATACAATCTCAACTACGTTCTAAACGTGCAAGAGTTTCAAGGCCGCATATGTCTACGCTATGGAAGGAATACAAGCTCTCAATATGGACAGCATCAACCACCCACTTGGCTGGAAGTGGAATCAAAGTGAAAGGATACAAAAATAAAAGCTCTTCTCCTCCTATTTGCTGTCCAACCAATTTTACTCCTCGCTAAAATGAATACCCATCACCCATATGCAGTTCGACTGCATGCTGCTTTAAAGACTATTCGTTGACATCAGGGGACCGGATTGAGGATCACACTTAACTCCTTTAGTTTGAATAAAATATCTTTACACTGTAAATTATTAAATGAGATCTACATTTATGAGTTAGTTCATTGTAGGTTTATAACCTACCAGGACGTTGTATCACGTCGTGACCCCTTGTCATACGTTGTATGACCCGCCGCGCACGGAGTGCGCGGCTCCCCTGTATCGTCAGGACGATAAAGGACGATAGTGAAACGACCGTGGGGTCGCAACGTGATACAAGTGACCCCCACGGTCGTTTCATTATGTAGAGTTTCTACGATATAATACAGGGGAGCCTCGCTATCGTGCGCGGCGGGTCATACAACGTATGACAAGGTAGATCGGCAAAATGTATTGACCATTGTTAATGATCTGGCCCGGCGCGCGCTACTTCGTAGCACTTGCCGTCGTAGCACTTGCCTTCGTTGCACTTGCCGTCGAGATATTTTGAGAAGAAAGCGGCGCGCGCTACTTCGAAGAAATTTAGACGAGTAACATCCGTCAACAAAATGTACCACTGGGTTGCGCTCAGCCTGTCATTCCGCCAAATCTTTATTTACATAATAGCCTGGGGTCCCCAGGTAAGTTTCACAAGTAAAGAGGCGGGCGCACGCCACTGCAAGCACAAGGGCTCTGGATAGAGCAACTCCAACTCTCTTTGTCATACGTTGCATGACCCGCCGCGCACGAAGTGCGCGGCTCCCCCTGTAGCGTCGAAGACGCTACACTATAGTGAAGCGACCGTGGGGGTCACCACGTGATACAAAACTCTCTCTGTTAAAATAAGAAGTATTATTTATGTCTTGGCATAAGTTGCATGCCACTTTTCGCGCGCGAAGCGCTCGCCGCTGCTGATATTTGGGATACGTAACATGTATCAATTTATGTTTGGAGTTAGCTTCATTTAATGATAACAATATTAATATAATATCAATATCGATATCAATGCTAGACTAAACTATCGAATAAATTGAAATTATAAATATTGATCATTATAATTAGTTCTGATTAAAAATTTATAAATTAAGGTATTTAATAATTAAAACATTACAAGTGGTTAAAAATGCCCAAAATCGATTTGAGAGTTTTTCAGTTTATAGTACAATAATAATAATAATAATAATAGTAAACAGTAAATTGTAAATGTTTGTATCACGTCGTGACCCCCATACATCGTCGTTTCACTGTAGAGTTTCTAAGATGCAGGTTGTCATACGTTGTATGACCCGCCGCGCACTCCCCCTGTAATGTCAGGACGATGGTGAAACGACCGTGGGGGTCGCAACGTGATACAAAATGCAGGTGGGGGATCAGCCGCACACTCGTGCGCGGCGGGTCATACAACGTATGACAAGTAAATAAAATGTGTTATGGACGCGCCTGAAGATGAAAATAGCGCGGCGCGCGCTATACTTTAACGAGTGATACTCGTAAAATATTTGTTCCAAATCCAGGACCGTCGACGAGTCCAACTCGGTGCGCGTCTTGGTAGGCTATAAACACACAAGCTATACTTCGAAGAAATTTAGATGAGTAACATTCCACGGCTTACAGTAATAACGATGTACAGTCCTTGCTCTAACCAGAGCCCTCTCGCTTGCAGTAGCGCGCGACTGCCGAAGGCGGCAAAGGATATTGGATATATATTCAACTTGTGAAACAAGCGCGTCACGCAATACGCTTGTAGCGCGATGCGTTACTGTGCCGCGCCGCGCATTTAATAAGGCTTCTCACAGCGACGGCTAGATCGGCGAGATGCGCTACTGTGCCGCGCCGAGCTGACATGAATTGACATCGTCAATTAAGCAGTACGCGTATACACATGGCTATGTGAAGTACAGTCCCACTGAAGCAGCATCAAATGAAGAGGCAGAGGACTTTCACGAGGGACTAAGATCTGCAGTAGGAGAGGTACCAGCCCATCATCTGCTAATGGTTGTTGGTGATTTTAACGCCCATCTTACATCTTAGCAGATTGAATGAGGAGGATTCAGGTTGGTACTGGCATCGAGTATCCAACAGAAACAGATCGCTTCTCAGGGATACTTTGTTGGAGGGAAACCTTGAGGCAACAAACCACCGATTCAGAAACGCCCCGGTAAACTATGGACGTATCTCTCTGACGGAACACTGAGCAAGAGTCAGATTGATTACATCCTGATAAGGAAGAAGTGGCGAAACTCAGTCAAGGACACTGTTGTCTCCAATTCTTTTAACTCTCTTGAGTCGGACCACCGTCTAGAAGTTAGTTCAGTCAAACTCAGCCTGCGAAAGTGCCAGAATGCACCTAGAGTAGTAAGATATGACTACAGACGGGGGGGGGGGTACCAATGGCATAGAATGGAGACAAATGGCATAAAATTCATCAAATGGCATAGAAATTTCATGGCATAAATGGAAATTTTGTTTGGCCAATTCTCCATTTATGCCAATTTATGCCATGAATTTAGGTCTTCATATTTGACCTTTAGGATGACTTTAAATTCGCAAATATTATTAGTACTTGAATAAGAGACATGTTTCATGCTTTATAACGCTTGGAATGATCGTTAAAGTCAAAGATTCGTATGACAAATAAAGAAAATAGAAATGTATTATATCAAACATATACCAAACATTTGACTATTCAAGAAAAGCAAATTGTGAGATGTTCAAAATGTACAGAATACAAACATTGACAACACAACGATTTTGAATGTCATCAAGGAACAACGCATCTGATGTATTTGTCTTCGACGAGTAGCCAAACATTAGGAGATCCATTGATTAGGCTATGCTCCTGGCAGTAGTACTTCATCGGGCATGACTTATAAGAAATAAATCTAACCACTCCTTTTGCAAATTCCTGCTGAGATTTGAAGACTTTAAGAGTTTCTGTACTGCCAGCTTTCAAAACTGTTGAACATCCGCAACGCGTCCCCCTTGAATCTTGAAAGACGAGATTTTGTTGATAAAGTGCTTCTTCCTCCATTGAGCGTGAGTTTCTCAAAAGGCCGGAAGGATAGTGTTCCATATTTATCTGTTGATATCGTTTCTCTATCATCACAATCATCAACTTCAGGTTCTACCTCATAAGCTAAGTCGTCCTCATCCTCGAGGCATCCAGCTTCATCATCTACAGCTTCCAAAGAAAGTACTTGGCCATGGACGCGGACGATTGGCTTCCCACTCTGTTCTTCAGGATCTGCGACTGCGGCGAACACAGGGAAATTGTTTCTTTTCCCTTCTCGAATGCAGTCCCTCGATGCCCTGTCCAGCGTTTTTGCCAACTTGCCTAGGCTTATCATACCACCAGTCCATTTCACTCGTTCTGCTTTCTGGCCTGTAGATTTAACCTTTTTGAGGTGAACTGTAGGATGCAAAACTGTACTTCCACGTGCATGTGCAATTGCAAATGTGTCTTCATGTAATGATAAAGCACTGTACACATTCTTTCTCTCCATTCCATGGGCCATAGTTATCGCATCCATATTTCTTGAGCGACCAGATGAAAAAGAAACCCGAATAAATGCAAACAGCTGCTCATTCTGATCACTTCCAACTTTCCAAGGTAATAAATGACGATTTCAGCATTAGGGAATTGCTTCTTCAGCAGAGTTAAATACAAAGAGTTAAATAAAAACAGAGTTAAATAAAATACAAAACAAGACCGTCACAAGTACATATAAGATCAAGGTACGTCTGATTCGTTATGCTGACAGTTGAGTAAGTACTAAGTATTCTCTTTCCAAGTTACGAAAAATGTTTTTGCCCACCATGCCTTGTAAGCACGCTCGTCTGGATCGATTTCCTTATCGAGGAATGCTTCTGCGATGTACTGCACGGCCTTCAAATACATACCTGTTGCTTTGTAGCCATTGGAAGTGAATACTTCATGCAGGCGGGAAACCGAGGTGACAAGACTTGGATCCTGGCTCCCATTGCCTCTCTACACCATGCCCAAACCTATCAGCAAACAATGAATTAGTCTCGGCGGAATGCCATCTAAAGTACAGGACAAGAAGAAGGACAAGAAGAAGCCGGCCTCCCCTGCAAATCCTATGAAATGCCCATGTGCCAAAGCACGACCCAGAGGCCTGGATTCTTTCTTGTACCAATTGCACCCAGGAATGGCACAGCAACTGTTCCAACCTTAAGGGTATCACTAAGAATTTTGTTGGACAGCTTATCGACTGGATGTGCCCTTTTGCTTCAACCCACCGGGAGTTGAAGCCCGCAACAATACACAAACTGACAGTCTAATACTGAGGATATCTAACTTATCAGATGACAATGCTTCCCTTACGAAACAGATAACCTCCCTTGAGGATAAACTTACTTCCCTGATTGCAGACACCGACAGAATCAGTAGCAGCTACAATCTGATTGCTGAGAGAGTGGTGGCCTTATCAGACATCAACACAGGTCTCACGCACTTGAATCTGCAACAAGATAAGACCAATTCAACGCTGAAGGCCTTATCAGAGAAACTCGAGAGCATAACAACCACGGCCACATCACAACCACAACATGTTGCTACGCCTCCTCCTCCTCCTCCTCCTTCTCTTCACGTGTTTGAGCCCCCTGCAGTCCCATCCGGTATGGTCCCGGCAATAAGGCGGGCTGAGGTTGCTGCTGACAGGTGCAAGAATAAGGAAAGCTGGGACCTTATTAATGACATAAATGGCAGGAAAAGCAAGCCATGCAGCCTGGTTGACGGAGGTAGTGCAGAGGGGAGATTGAAGAGCTGGAAGGACCACTTCACTAAGCTCCTGGGTCAACCACCATCTGTACCTGACCAGGAAATAGTTATCCAGACCATCCACCCCCAGCAGGATATAGAGACAGGTCTGTTTTGCAGGGAGGAGTTAGCGGAGGCGAGGAATCAGATCAAGGAGGGTAAGGCCTATGGTGATGATGGCATAGCTCCAGAAATTCTCAAAAGAGTTGACATGGACGACCTGATTCTAGAGTTCTGTAACAGCGCTCTGGTTGATGGAAAAATACCTGATCAATGGCGGCAACTCAACATCGTGCCTGTGCCAAAGAAAGGAAATCTAACTAAAGTGGATAACTACAGAGGAATCGCTCTTACGTCCATTGTTAGTAAGACCCTGAATCGTATGATCCTTTGGCTTTACAGAATCAAACCAGCGATGGAGAAAATCCTGAGGAGTGAGGATCAACCAAAACGGATTTCGGGAGGGACGCAGTACCACCAGCCACATTCTGTGTCTAAGGAGGATCTTGGAGGGGGCTAGAGACAAAAACCTGACCGCCCTTCTCTTGTTCATCGGTTTTAAGAAGGCCTTTGATAGCATTCATAGGGGTATATTGATGAAGATACTCCAGGCATATGGGATACCAGAGCCCATTGTTAGGCTGATAGATGCTATTTACAAGGACACCATGGCACGAGTCATCACGGAGGATGGTCTGACTGAAGCTTTCCTTATACTTGCTGGAGTTATGCAGGGAGATACACTGGCGCCCTACCTCTTCGTGATTGTCATTGCCTATGTGATGACAACAGCACTTAGAGGCAAAGATCTGGGCTTCACTGTCAACCCCAGAAGAAGCAGGAGATACCCAGCAGTTAAGGTGACAGATGTCGACTTTGCTGACGATCTTGCACTGACAAAAGACACCGCAGAGCAAGCGCAAGATCTTCTCCTCAGTGTGGAGCTGGCTGCTAACTCCGTTGGACTTCACCTCAACGAGAGTAAGACGAAGTACATCAGAGTCAATCTTTCTGAGTCTGACTCTACCGTCATTAAAGCAGCAAGTGGGCAGGAGATAGAGCAAGTAGATGACTTTGTCTACCTTGGAAGCAGAATAATGAGGGGAGAGAAGGACTTTGATGTTAGGAAAGCAAAGGCATGGGGGGCCTGTCATCAGTTAAAGACAACCTGGAAGTCTGGAATGCGCAGGGACTTAAAGATCCGTGTCTTTCGAGCAACGGTTGAGTCCGTACTCCTGTACGGCTCTGAAGCTTGGACGATAAGCCAATCCATGACTAAGCGGATCAATGGTTGCTACACTAGAATGCTCCGGATGGCCTTGAACATACGTTGGCCACAAATCATCAACAACAGTGATTTATACGGCAACATCCCGAAGCCATCAGCGATGATAGCCTCCAGAAGAATGAGACTGTCTGGACATGTAGCCAGGCATGACGACCTTCTGGCAAACCAACTTCTGTTCTGGGACCCTCAGCATGGATACAGGAGACCGGGGAGGCCCCACCTTACGTTTCTGGACATGCTAAAGAAGGACACCAGCCTTTCCTGTGTTGAAGAGATAAGATCTGTTATGCTTGACCGCCACGTGTGGCGAGGAATTGTAGCTGCTCGGACCAAGAAGCTGACTTAACTTTAAGTCAGTCAGCAGTCACATTCGTTTGTAGGTTTATAATCTACCAGGACGCGCGTCGAGTTGGACTCGTCGACAAATATTTTACGAGTACAGAGTATCACCCGTTAAGGTAACCCCTATTAGGCCATTTGTAACGCGCTGAGGGGGTTTGTTTACCTGGGGACCCCAGGCTATAATGTTCATAAACATAATCATAAACGAATCAAGCTCAGTAAGATGCAAGCGGAGGCCGGAGGGGGGTTGTACTTGTAGGAAAATCCGAGATTTTGGCCAGGCAGACATCCTTAGTAATGGCCCCAAATTTAATCGCAATACAAGCAAAACGTGTTAAACGTTCTTACAAGCCGTTAAATTGACATATTTACGGATCAGAGCTGGTATGGGGGTTCCTTATTAATAAGCTGAACTTGAAGGATTGAAGAATAATAAGCGATGCAAATGATATACGCTCTGAACTCAGTGGTAGTTTTTTACTTGCTAACACGCAGGCTTTACGTGTTTCGGAAAGCAGAGTTGAGAGTTATTGGTCTTGGTTGTTGGTGCAACTGCAGCTTGTCACTTTTGGCAACATTGGCCATTTGTCAAACGAATGTGAACTTGAAGAGGTACCGGGTACATGATAATATAAATATTAGCCGACAACTATGGGAACTGAACTTGATTGTTGCTGTCTTTCGTGAGATTCATTAGTCGCTCAGCGCTCTCCTCGCAGAATTGAGGAGCCTGTTTTATTGTTGACAAAAGCTTTAGCTCCAAGAAGAGGAGTAACAAAGACCACGAACTAATGCTGGTGTAATACTGACGAACCTAGGTTTTTGTCTTCGCTGTTAAAAATAAAGACACAGATATTTTGGTTAGACAATATAACTTTTGCTAGCAACAATCAACATTCGCATTGCGGGATCATACAAGTAATTTCGATTTAACAGATTGGAAGAACTGCTTGATATCCACTATCACTATTACTAAATTCATCACCTTCAGATCATATCGATAATGTGATATATTACCTAGAGTGTAACGTAATTAACGGATATATATTGTATTATATTTAAAAATAGCTTGATAACAATAATATGTAATCTTGAGTTTTGGGCTTTATCAGCCCAATATCAATATGCTTCACAAATCTCACATAAATATTGTAGCTTACGCATGCATCCATTGCAGAATTTCACGGGACACATTTTCATACGCAGATCAATCTAAATAGATGCAAAACTAATCAAAACAAAGCCGTCAACCTCCTTAAGCATAGATATAATCCCAAATTTAAAGCGTTTTCAAAAAAGATCACACAGGTTACTGAAAAATGTCGAAAAGGTAATTTCCTTTTTATTTTCCACGGGACTAGTTAAATATAAGCATAAATCAACTCTTTGAAAATTCAAAGAGACTTCTTAATACTTAAAAGCAGAATGAATACTTATTAATACTGTCAAGCCAAAAATACTAAATAAAAAGAAAAGATTTCGTTAAACATAAAAGCATTTATCCTAGAAAATAGCCTTAATCTATAAAAAATACATCAAAAACGGTTCCCTATCTAAGAAATCCTTAACTTAATCAAAAATATTCGAATAAATATCATATATTATATCAATAAGCTAAAAGCACTGCAGTTTAAAATAATAAATCCAATACCACCTGACAGTTACTGGAATTAATCTGTAGCCAACATTGATAAACCAATGTTGGTTTACTTGTTTGACGTTTGTGATAGTAAGAAAAAGGTTTCTCTCATTCATCACATTTTTTAAATTTTGAAGTACTGAAAATTCCTGGAGAGCGTGCCGTCCATGTTTTACCAAACATTTTATCAACGGAAAAATAACTGCAGCACTTTGTTCAACATAATATTCATAACATTGCCTTATATCTTAAGAATATCAGACTCAAAAAAAGTCTACTTATATAATTATATAATTACTCTGAAAAAATAAATCGCCCGACCTCAAACAAGCCTCTTGTCAGTGATCATACTTTTATGGAAAAAGTTGGAGCATCACTATATGACTGAGATAAATCAGCACTCAAGATAACAGTATGATTAGTTAATTAATTACATAAATGTAATTAATTAATTACATAATCGATATAGTTTATCAGGAGACTTGGACTGAGGAATAAGAAATACGGAGCTTGTTCTCAGTTAGAAGCGACACAAAAAAATGTGGCTCGAAGTATATAACAAATAATTTAAGTTTTAATGTGTTAAGTCAAGGCAGTTCCTGGAAAACAAAAATGTTAGTAAGACAGTTAGACTCTAAAGATTCCACTCACCAATACTAATACCGAACTGGCGCATAACAAGGTCGAAAGCAGCACAACAGATTTGAAACTAGGTCGATATCAAATAACTCAGGAAAATAAAGTTATTTAATTTGATAACTCAGGAAAATTAAGTAGCAATCAGGGAACTGCCTGTTTTGAGTCCCGACTCCCTCAAAATACGGGTAAACAGAAAAAAAAATGTTAAAAAATTATCTATAATACAAAACATTAAATAAAAAACAAAAAATCGAAAAAAAATAACAAAAAGACTTAAGGAAAAATAAAAAATAGTTGCTGTTATCCAGCCTAGCTCACGTTTCCAAATATCTGGTCCAAAAATGACGGTACCCGTTTCAGAACCTGATTCACGTCTCTTGGCAAGTTTCCAGAAGAAGTTCCCAGAAGACGGAATGTTCGAGATTCGGCTGAACGCCAGCTTTAAACAACATTCGATAGCATACATCGCATAGACAGCTGTATTATTAGTAATCACGCAGCACCGTGGTTTTATCAAAAAATTAAATATAATCAATAGCTCATGACATATATAATATTTATCATAATTTCATCATGCCCATTTAAATCAAATAACACCAATTTAATACCAATCCACTGTTACGTTTCTAGTTCAAATAAAAAAAGGAAGTTATCTAATTCATTTAAATATTTCCTAAGATATCAGTGTTGTACGTGAGGAATAAAATTTGAAATATTTGAACTAGAAACATTCTAGAGATAGTAGATCCCTCTTTCATATAATATGAACCTGTACGATCAGGTGAGAATTATAGACCATGTACTATATAAGGAAACCGGGTACAAGACAACATTCAATAAGACAAACATGTAGATTATACAGTCACTTGAGCGTAATGTAACAGCATATAATAGCGTCACGTGATATGATATCAAATCACGTGACGCACTACATGCCACCGCTAGGAGGCACGAGGTTAAAGGTCAGCAGGTAATAATAGAGGTCCAAACTCGGATCGGCTTCCAGTTTGCTGAGGGATAACGGGTTAGATATTAGTCAATTCTTAGTAATCGTTGAGGATGTAGATCAGATGCAGTATTTATTAAACTTTTCTTGGAAAAAGGTGAAACTTTAATGTAATAATGTAATTAATGTAATAATGTTATTAACGTAATAATGTTATTAACGTAATAATGTTATTAATGTAATAACGTAACAATTCCAGTGACATTTACCTTTACACTCCGTACACTTGAGCCAGTCTTTTTCTCAACATGTCAGGGAATGGTTCAGTGATTTTCGTCCAGTTTTCTTCTCCTACAAGGAAATATTTGTAATTAGCTCTGTTATCAAGGTTTGGGCAGTTTTATATGTCTTATCCAAGTAGACAATACAAGGAATATCTAGGGACATTTACAACAAAATTTAACATAATTCTTTAATTAACTAGCTATGAGTAAAATACGTTAACTTGGCGTTGAAGTCAAAATGAAACACAAATGACTTTATAAAACCCCAAGTTACCTAATTGAGTCTTGAAACCGTCTAGAATCTGTTTGAACATTAGTTTGAGGTCCTCCTTGGGAGAAACCCAACTAGCTACCGCATCACAAAAGTAGATGAAGTCCTGGATTATACCACTGGGATTCCTGCTAATCATCGCACAAACCTGGCAATAAATAATGTCAAATTACCAATAATTTATTACTTAAATTTAATAAATCAAACTATTCAATAAGCACCGTCCGCGTCATGTGTCAGCATAGCTTGTGTTAAACTTCCTGTCGCCCCAAATAAACAGTGAAGAACTTACCCCTCTGAAGGCAGAGTCTTTCTCCTCGTTATCTCTGATATTCCTCAAACTAGCGCACCACAGTCTGATAAAGCGGTTCAGATATGGAGCTATGTCATCTGAACATACCAGTCCTAGCCGGCCTATCGTGATAGCTGCGGGACAAAGTTGTTAGCTCCAGACAGACAGACAGACAGACAGACAGACAGACAGACAGACATGACAGACATGACAGACATGACAGACATGACAGACATGACAGACATGACAGACATGACAGACATGACAGACATGACAGACATGACAGACATGACAGACATGACAGACATGACAGACATGACAGACATGACAGACATGACAGACATGACAGACATGTGCATGACAGACATGACAGACATGACAGAAAACAAACAAAACCTCGGATTCCAACAATCCATGAATATAAACATTAAACATCGCCTCAAAACAGAAATGCGAGAAAAATCTTACCGGTATTCTCAAGTAAAGTCTTAGGAGTGTTCTCTCTGTTGATGATGACGATAAGTTGGTTTAAGATAACACTAGCAAATGGTTTCATTTCGGGTCCCAATTGAATGCTGATCTCTCCAATGGCCCATGTTGCGTTGTTACACACTGAAGAGGGGAGATTGTTACGGCTAATTTAACAGAGCATTTAACTGAAAACTCAAACTCATATCACCATACTCAGACTCACCTATATTCCTATACTAATTTAGTAGTTTTTCAAGCAGGCTGCATTCCTGGTTAATTGATATAATACTTAATAACTGGTATTGATACTACACAATACCATGTGGAACCTTTAAAACCCGTTTACAGTTTACCAACTGAATAAAATTGTGGCTAGAAAATAGCACCTGAAATGTAGCAAACCTGAAATGTAGCAAGGCTGAAGGTTATTTACAAGAACTGGTATGAGCTCGTTTATGTACGGTTTAACGTGTTGGAAGCAAGCTTTGGTGAGATCACCTAGTAAAGCAAAGGAACTTTGTCTAACTTCAGACATGTCATCCTGAAAAATAATGGTGGTTAGTTGATTTACTTAAAAAACTGAATAGTAGGATCATAGTCAGACATATCAGTCATAACAGCAAATAAATGGAGAACCATCAAGATCATGGTCGTATGATTTACAAATCCATAAAATTAACTTCAGCTTACCTGCATGCATTGGAAGAGTAGAGGTAAGATATTGCTATTTTTAACAAGCGCCTCGATATGCCCCTCCATTCCTTCAGCCATTCCACTCAGTAGATCCAACGCTACTATCATAAAGTCTTTATCTGGCTTCTCATACTGGTCGGGCTGAGTTGCTGCCAGCTGCAATGAAATAATTAATTAGTTGATAGATAAATAAAAATATGTTTATATCGCTGACTACTCAGGAAGTAGTAATAATATGACATGAGCTTGAAGTTTATGTCGAGCTCTTATTATTTAATACGAGCCAAAAATCAGTATAGGTAGAATAATAACCAGTATAGTAGAATAATGATATTTTTATCGTTCTACTAAATTTTCTGGGAACTCAATGAATGCTCCTATCACAGTTCACACCCGTTTTAAAATTCATGTCCCAAAAAATTCAGTTGAAAAATTAAAAAGGTACAAACCACGGAAGCAGTAAGAGTTCTCTCAATCAGCAACAAGCACCTCTGGTAAACCGGCTCAGCGTACGGAACGAATCCAGTCTGAGATAGGAGGCTTTAAATATCTAACTAACATTAAATGGGGATGTAAATTGAGATAATTTGAAAAAATCTAAATTTAATTTATGTGAATAATGTATATTATATAAGTAGTTTTAACGTGGACCCCCAATTATTAGGTGACACATTACACGACCATACGTTGGAACAGTGAACGATACTCATGTAGTTATACACACAAATACAACTCACGACACAATACAGTTTTAATGTCCAGGAGCAATTTCCCACGTGTCATGACGTCACTATATGACGTCACTATATGACGTCACTATGAGATATTCACCTGGAGAGCGGTGGCCACTGAAGATAAACACTCCAAGAGAGGGAACAAATCTTTGTCGTCATCTTTCAAACTGTTCCACTTTGCTATCAGAGGTGGCATCAGGATTTCAATGTACTCCTGAGAAGTCAATTGGTTATAATTGGCAGTGTTTAATTCGGGTTTAAATTAGAGTTTAATTAACATTTAATGATCAAGCTTTCCAGAGTATAGGAAACGGAGCATAATTTGTAAGTGCGTACCGTATTATTGAGATGATATCCAACGCTGTCAGCTAAAGTTCCAATAGCATCGTACAATATCAGCAATGACTTGTGCTGGTACTTCTTGAAGGCCTCCAGGAAGGTAGTTAGGATGAACTGGAGATAAGGCAGTAGCTCTGTACATGCCTCCTCTTCAAGTGTAGCGAACGCGCTGCAGGCTGCTTCTTGTACTCGCTTGTTCGTGTCGAGCATTCGCTTTAACAGCTGCGACGATGGGGGTAGGGTAAAGCACATAATTTTGTCATTTTTTGGCAATTTTCCGACTGCCTGATATAAACCATGGGTTTTAACCTCGTCTGAAATTCCGATTTAGATGAAACCTCCACCATTTTATAGTAGACAGTCTAGGCAAGTTCTAACACAAAAATGATCGAAATTGCTGGGGTTGAAGATGTTCAAAAAAATTATTTTGAAAAAAATGACAAAATTAGGTGACTTTACTTAATTTTGTCACCCCGAACCTAATTTTGTCACTTGAAGATTGTGCAAAAAGTAACCGTTTCTCGGTATTTTAGACTACCTGGATGCATCATTCGAGCGCTTTTTTACCAACATTGACCTCAAAAATCCCAAAGATATGATGTTTTCATAGTTTTGTAGCTTGATGAAAAGATGACACTTTTTGGGTATCTAATCTTAGAAAATAGCCCCCAAATGCCCCTGAAACCACTGGCATCTTGAAAACTTTCTATGAAGCATGAATCAATATTGGTTACTGATTCACGAAACTATATTTACCAATAGCTCTTTAAAACCCAGAATTACAGTATATTTCTCGGCGAAAATATGCTATTATAAGTGTTTAAATGCTATTATAAGTGCCTTATACATATCCTATGGGCAAAAAAACTTCAGAATAGTTGTATAAGGCCATTTTCAACACAATCTGTGATTTACAAGAAATTTGAGAAAGGTCGATTTTTTTGACAAAATTAGGTTCTTTTGGCAAAATCGAACCTAATTTTGTCACCCTCTGTGACTTGAACAATAATTGCGCTAGAGACTTGAAAATTTGTACGTATACTTAGGCTGTAGAAGATATTTGAAATATGCAATGGCATGAAGCTAGCTCAATTACTTTTGAAATAGCAATAAATCAAAATTTTGAAAATTCCTTAAGAAAACTTTAAGGATCTTATTTATTTTTCGGGTTAACAGTTTCGCCTTCATTTTTGACACAGATGCAAAAGAGCTAGAAACTTAAACTTTGTAGGAGCAGTTTCAGCAAAGTCTAAGCTTTCTTTTTATACACAAACCTTTTCTTTCAAGCTGAAATTCCGAGCCGAGGCAGTTTTTCAGAGCAAAATGACAAAATTAGGTACCCTGACAAAATTACGTGCCTTACCCTACAGTGAGAACTTCTAATTATTTAACCAATTAGTTAACCACGATATGGAGGATGTCAGATTAATTTTGGGCTTAAATGTAATACATACCTTAAGAACCAGGTTAGAATCCAAAAATGTATCTATATTTTTTACCAAGATTGTTGCAAGGCAAATTTAATGCGACTAATCATAGTAATCAAACCGTCGGCTAATTTAAAAGCCAACTAAACTTTGGTAAAGCATAAATTTTAACATAATACTGTTGATAATGACTTTATACCTGCTAAAATTATCTTTCACCGCATCCATTCATGCTGCAAGTCAGATTTTAAATTTGAACTAATTTTGAACTTTAGAATATCAGCGTCACGTGACTATAAAGTATAGAATAGTGTAAAATAGTGTTAAAATAGTGTAAAATAGTATTAAAATAGTGTAAAATAGTGTAAAATAGTGTAAAATAGTGTAAAATAGTGTAATACCTCCTCAACCAGAGACTTTAGGTAAAGATCTCCAGGCTGATTTACAATCCAGTGAGCGTATCTTGACAACGTCCAGCAGGTTATCGACCTCACTAATGTCTGAAAAAAGAAGAATATATTATTATTTAAAAATCAATCCAAGTGTAACTACCTGATTTCCAGAATTTTCAAGATAGTTCTTTTGAGCACGAAATTCCTAATATTGAATATAAAGGTCAATAAGGAGACGATAACTTGATAAACAGCTGACGGTACTTTCAAGTATTGATCCTTGTGGAGTGTGGCACTACTGTGGCACTACTGTGGCACTACTGTGGCACTACTGTGACACTCATGCACCGCGAATGAATAGATTTTCAGGTACGGCCAAATAAGGTTTAGTTGTGTAGTTGAATGAACGGGATGATACTCATGATGGTAAAGTACACTATCATCACAAAGAATAAAATACACGAGAATAATATTTTATTTTCCGAAATAATGAATTTTATATTACTTTACGAACTGCAACGTCGGACAAAGAGATGACCGCATTGACCAACCCTTTAGAATTTAGATGCTATATTATCTTCTTTCCATGGGGATACTTTGGTGAGGGCAAATTTCATTTCAATTGTGCCACCATCTCCTCAGTTTCTCTGTCAAATTACGATATCCTGAATTTACTAGGAAATTTGGTCTGAATTTTCTGGCAATAAGCTCATTTTTATCACCGTTTAAACGTAAAATATGAGGATCCTCTTCTTGTTGACCATAGTATTGACTGCCTTTCTGATCGTTGGTGCGGGGCGCAGAGACAAAGGGAAAAAGGACAAGGCCGTAGGCTGCACAGCTAAGACACTGAAGAAAGCAATAAAGATGTACGACTCCTGTCTGCACAAAGGTTTTAAATCAAGTCTGGGGTGCGAACATGAAATTTCTGTCAAAAAACCCCTCAGTAAAGGCAACGTAAAGAAGTGTGAGAAGATAGAGCTTAAAGCTGACGCCTGTGGACATTCCTGCCCGACTGATGGAGGCTGGAGCCAATTCTCAGAGTGGTCAGACTGCTCAGCAGAATGTGCAGGAGGGGGCCAGTCTAGAACCAGGACTTGTACTGATCCTGCTCCTGCATTCGGTGGTGAACTGTGTCTCGGTGAAGATATTGAAACTCAGGGCTGCAACCTTGCTCCTTGTTCCGGTATGTGACATTGTAAATTTCTGGGGAAATGGTTGCAATATTTGAACGATTTTCCCTTGCTACATCGAATTCTTGCTATAGTAAAGAAGGAGTGGATTGAAACAGAACCGGATAATTGTGCAACATGGACCCCTATAAAGGTTCATAAACAAACAAATGGCTCTTATTTAATCTTCATGGTCTTACATATTTTATAAGCATGTTAGATTGGTCAATCTGAATAAACTCAGTGGACGGAGAGTGGAGCGAGTTTGGGAACTGGTCGGACTGTTCGGCAGTGTGTGGAGGAGGGAGCCAGTTCCGATTGAGAGACTGTGACAACCCTGCCCCTGCTGAGGGAGGAGCAGATTGTGAGGGAGGCGACACAGAGACCAAGGACTGTAACATCCAACACTGCCCAGGTAACATTGTTAAACTGTAAAGTGTAACAAAGTCACGCAGTAACATTATCCACGTAGGCTGTGCTCAATTCTGAGATCATAAATGAGAGAAGTTGATATTTAAATAAATCCGAAACGAAACGAAACGAAACACAATATTTACTACCCCGCTCGTATGCGACAAAGATATTGCATAAAATATACCTAAATAATTTACACAATACGGTGCCCATGTCTGAGCGGCTCTCCACAAAAACTTTCTCTCCTCCTCAGAGCAGAAGGTTTTTTTAAAAAAATATATAAACTGGGATCTCATAAAAATTTAAGAACCAATGTACTTTATTTGACAATAAAAGATAACAAAATGTGTCACACTTAAGGTTTATAAACTACCAAGACGTGCGCCGAGTTAGACTCGTCGACGGTCTTATATAATTAGAACAAAAAATTTACGAGTATCACCCGCTAAGTCACACACAAGAAAAACTTCATGATTATACATCGTTCACTATGATATCTTGTCCTCACAACAAATAATACCACTTCTGATATAATATCGTCTCTTCAAATCCTTCTTTGCCTTCTCTTTCATCTCCAAAACGAGCAGATGATGTCTGGCTTGCTCCTCAGGTGACCGATCTGGTGAAATGAACACAGTTTTGTGGTGCTCACTCAGTTTCAGGTTTTTCGATTTTGATAAAATCTGATGTACAGTATTCGAATTTGATAACAAAATTTTGACAGGTCTGGTCTTGTCAGCTGATTTCCTTCCAATCCTTACAGCTTCGAAGTGTGGTTTCACTTCAATCTGTTCAAACAGTTCGTCTACTTTATCTGATAGTTTCTCTACATCTGTCTCCTTTAAACCAAAAATGAGAACATTCCTGCTGCGATCCTCTTCTGACACAGCCTTCTGCACAACTTTTTTCAGGCTCTCCTCCGTTATTGTACTGTTCGGCGAGGCTTTTAACACAGCTTGACTGTATGACTTGATTTCAGCTTGAACAGTGTCCTGAACAGCAGATTTTACAGTGGTCTGAACTAAATCCAACTGATTGGATTTGGCTTCAAGAAGTTCCCTCTGCAGTTTGATAACCGACTCTTGTGATCGGATGAGAGAACTCTTCAATTCCTCAACATCTTTCATTGCATTCAGAGTTTCTCCGACGACAGAATTCAACTGATAGTACATATTATACATCAAATTTGATAAAACCTTCTTGACTGGCTTTTCAAACTTTTCAACTGAAAACCTTGTTCTATTTTCACAGTTCGTGGCTTCTGCAATATTCGAAATTAAAGCCTCAAAATCCTCATTCGCTTCGTTGAAAAATGTAGAGTGTCCTGATAAACGCTGCAGTAAATCTGTGTCCTTCATCATGTACTTAACTTGTATTACAAGGCTACATGGTGGTCGCAGTGCAATTAAACGATTTTACTGATAAGAGAGCAACTGTTATCAACACACAAGCTAAAAGGATACAACATCAAATGAGAGAACTAAATCCGATTCAGCAGATAAAAACAGACTATCCCTTGAAAAAGATATTATGTTTTCAGTTGATGGGAACTGGAGCGAATTCGGGGATTGGTCGAGCTGCTCAGCCAACTGTGGCGGAGGAAAACAATACCGACTAAGAAACTGTAACAATCCTGCTCCAAAATATAGCGGGGTGGAATGTGAGGGGGTAGATTCAGATACAGCGGACTGCAACATAAACCCTTGTCCTGGTTGGTTATATTATATTTTAATTATCAAAACCTGAACAAACGGAAAGAAGTAAACTGAAACTTAGTACATCCGACTTAACCATCACATTTCAGTGGACGGAGATTGGAGTTCGTTCGGATCCTGGTCAGAATGTTCAGTGGAGTGTGGAGGTGGATTCCAGTCTAGAGCTCGATCATGTGACAAACCTGCCCCAGCATACGGTGGAGTAGACTGTGAAGGATTTGATGCAGAGGTACAAAACTGCAATACCGACCCATGCCCAGGTTTATAATCTAAGATAATCTTGTTAAAGATACTCGACTCCACTCTGACTCAACTTATAACGAAAATGTTGGTTCAGTTAAAACCAAAAAAGCTTCTTACAACACATATCAATTTAGTGAACGGACACTGGAGTCCATTTGGTGAGTGGTCAGGCTGCACGGCTGAATGTGGTGGTGGAACTCGTATCAGAATCAGGGCCTGTGACAGACCAGCCCCGGCATTCGGAGGGGCGGACTGTAAGGGGGAAAGCTCTCTAACAAATGCTTGTAACACTCAACAGTGTCCTGGTAAAGAATAAACACAACCATTTTTGTAGTAATCTTTACGGCTCGATCCGAGGAGACAATTTCGTAGATAAACTAAAGTCCTCCTTTTTATGGTCAATCCCACTCACTCAGACGTTTTCCTTTTCAGTAACGTACGAGTTCCAGCACCGGACTAGCGCCAAAGGAAAGTGGGACGGAGGAGCTTTCTCCGGCTACTTCTACACTGTGATCGGAACACTGGGTGAAACTGCAGAGCACGACTGTGAGGCTGACAGGGAGCTGGGAGGGACTGAATCCTGTGTTATCAAGGACTTCACTGATATTGGGAACATCAAGGGGCTCAGGATCAGGAATAGTGGAGATAACACGTGGAGGTTCGTGAAGATTTCAGTGACGATTGATGGAGTCTACGGGGGGATGTATGAGGGGTATACTTCGGTTGATGATTACGCTACTGTTACTATTCACATCATGTCTGATCCAGGTAATTTTTAAAAAAATTAAATGTTAAGTCAAATTTGTGTCCCCTTTCTAGGCGGTTATTTTATACTAATAACGGCCACATCAGGAGATTTTATGTTAGATTCTTGGATCAGGACCAGTGCAACCACCGCTATCTAAAAACACTTGAAAATTAACTTAAATCCCTTAGCAAATCCAGATTGTGGACGGAAAAGCTTGGGTTGCTGGGCCGATAGCCCTGCCGGCCGCGCAATTGAGGGCGGAATACGCTTCCACTCTGATAACCCGATAGATGACTGTGAGAGATATGCACAGGAGCGTGGGTTCTCTGTATTCGCGGTGCAGTACGGACACGAGTGCTTCACTGCAGCTAATGCTGAGGAGACTTTCGAGAAGTTTGGAGATTCAAAGGAATGTTCGGATGGGACAGGTGGATCGTGGTCATCGAACGTCTACTTCGCAGACACTTGCAAACGTAGGAAGCGTCGAAATATCCAAAAGTTTTTTCACTAAGATAACGTTATAAACTTATATATATATATATCATGATCAACAGTAAGTACGTTTTAAACTTGATATTTCCCTTGTGCTTAAATAATCTCCAAATCCCAGCATCGTACGAATGTGGACGACAGAGCTTGGGATGCTGGAAAGATACCCTTAACAGAGCAATAAAAGGAGGGGTAAGGTTCAACTCCGAGAACCCAGTCAAGGACTGCGAACAGTTAGCAAACGATGAGGGATTCTCAGTCTTCGCAGGTAAGTCTCTTTCTTCACATTAAATTCGCGAAGGCCAACGACGATTATACCATACTTTCTTTGCTGCAAAAGGGCGGCTACTTAATATAAGTATTTCGCAAATTTTCTTTAACAAATACCAAGCTTTGTTGACCGGTATGTTACATACTGTAGCTGAATTGGCTCACGTTGCTCAACGTGAGGCAAAGTAAAACTGAAATTATAACATGTACCTCTCAATTGAGAAGTGAGGAATACGACCATTACTCAAAATTACAACTCAGTTCAGTTCGGCACAGAGTGTTTCACAGCCAGTAACGCCGATCGAACCTACCAAATGTACGGGCCTGCTGAGAACTGTAAGGATGGAAGGGGTGGATATTTGTCCCAGAGCGTCTATAAAACGGGCAGTTGTCCAGGTATTAAACTACACATTAAATTTGTTATCACGACAGTGTTAAACGAGATAATATGCCAATATTTACAGACTATAATGAAATATAAATGTATCTAAATTTATCTGGCCCATAAAGCTATGCAGCTCTAAAGTTGGCAGTTTTCAGATAGATGAAGCTATTGATATTTCTGCGAATCAAACGAATAATGAACCAACGCTCTTTTTCTCCAGAAACACCAGAATGTGGCAGGAAGAACCTGGGCTGCTGGAGGGATGACCCGCTCAGATCCATACAAGGTGGAATAAGGCTCACATCCGATAATCCCGTAGAAGACTGTGAGAAGTATGCAGTGGAGAACGGGTATGCAGTGTTTGCAGTGCAGTCTGGTAGGGATTGTTTCACAGCAGATAATGCATCTAACATGTACCAGATGTATGGACCTTCGGAGAAATGTGTAGATGGCAAGGGAGGAACTTGGGCTCAGAATGTTTACAAAGCAGGCGATTGCTAGACAACCAACCAGAATCGGACTTCGATGATCAGAAAATAAGATTTTTACAGTAGACAGTGATATTTGGCAGAAATTACAAAACAATATGTAATAGCTAGGAATTTAATCGTCGAAAAGCATGATGATTAACCTCTGAAAACGTCTCTTAAATATTTTTACTAGTAAACCTGTTGTTTTTATGCCTGACACTGTGATTGCGATGAGAATTCATTCAATATCAACTAACACTGGTCAATTACTGTAAGGTTATAACCAGATAAATCTGTACCGTTGCTCTAGTAATGCATTAAAAATGCAAACTACAACGAACACTGTTACCTATATAAAATCTCTATGCCAGTACTCAATGGGGATTTGTTGCACTTTGATCTGGTATGATGTTACTTTGATTTTTTCAACTCAAATTATTCAAGATATTTAACTGAACATAAACTAAAACGGCCACTAAAGAGTAAAGACACAAGTAAAGCCTACCTTTTTATCTGACAGAGCGGTGATAAGGAAGGGTACAAGTTGAGGTAGGTGAGGAATTATACCGTTCATACACCCTTCAGCCACTGCTCCCAGCGCCAGGATTCCTGAGGCAAGGTTGTTAAAAGGAATTGTAAAGTAATTGTAAACTGATCATGATGGGTGTTCTATGTTCATTAGTTTTGTTTTGAATAATTTAATTAATTATCTGTGTGTTATCGGTTGGCGATCAATAAAACAAAGATTAACTGAATAACAAATATGTCAAATACCCGGATAAATTTGTATTTTTCAAAAAATTGTCCGATTTGCAACGAAATTTCTAGGAACTAAGGCAACTAGGTAAGAGGCTAGATGACGACGCAACTTTTGTTTGGCGGTTTTTGATGTTCAACGGATTTTGAGCATTTTGTCTTTTGAGCCTTTCCCTTAAATTTGAAGGCTTAGTTTTCCTGAGATGATCCAAAATCCATCTCCGCAAGGTCTCCATTCTCCAGAAGTATATAAACGGATTAACGGCAGCGTTAACAGGAATCAACACTCGGTAGCTAATCAAAATGAAATACCAAACGAAGAAGGGACTCTTTGCGACATATACAATATCCCTCATCCACACAAACACTATATTGTTCAAAAGTTCGGCCAAAAACATGGGAAGATTACAAACAAGGAAAACAGCTGTGAAGATAGTTATAGTAATGGAAACACGCCTGAAGTCGTTGGTGCCAGGCATGGCATCCTTTGCCAAGGCCATGATACTCAAGATAAAGCTTACAAATACAATCACTGAATGAAGGATCAGATTGGCAAGGTCGAACATGACAAAGGCCATGTATTTCCAATCCGGCGGATCCACATAGTTCGTCTCAGTACACGATGCAATATTGGAGAAGAAGAAAAACTTGTTTACTCCAAATCCTATTACCACAGCTTTCACAATGAGAATGTATCCAGCATAAACCACACACGCCACAAGAACTGCACTCTTCTTTATACTGAAAAAGGGAGCCAGAATGTTGACAGTTCTGGTGACACTCATAACGAGGACCATGAACTGGGAGAAGCGAAGTGTGAAGTAAAATGGAACATACCACACACCGCATAGTGTGTAGCTTAGAAAGAATCCCAGGGGTCGTCTTCCATTCATCAAAGAACTGATTATGGGCAGGGTCAGGACACAAGTGCAAACATCAACAGCGCTGATAAATGTGTACAAAATATTCGGGAAAGAATGTTTCCTCCTACTCCAGAAATATAGAAGGGAGGCGATGTTGCATGGAACCCCGACAGCTACACATGTGATGAGAACAGCTGCAATCATTTGATCAGCACTCTTGTTGAAAGTGTGACCCTCGAGTTCTGTTATGTTTAGGACATGGTAGCTCTTGTTTGCCATAATGGGGGGACTCAATCATATAGCTTTTGGAATAATATTATCAAGGAATAATTTTTGTTCCGGAATGAGGTCACGATCTATATTTCAAAGATTCGATGATTGTGTTGCTCAAGTTTCAATAATTTTTAAGTTCAAATGTTCGAACAGCATCTGAAAAGACCGGAGATGTTTTTTTTTTAATTAATGAAATGGAAGTGAAAGAATCCAAAACTAATGGAATTATCATTACGTTCCTTCTCAAACAATAATAATTTGAATAATGGGCCATAAAAAATAAGGATATTGTATTGTATTATCTGTCATAAATTACAAAACTGTACAATAAAAGGCGCGCTACAGTCAGCGACTAAACGGACCAAGCTTCAAGATATATGATCATATTATGATCATATGATCATTGATCAGCCAACAATTTTCTAGCCTGGGTTTTATTGTCCAACTTAACGGATTGTAATTAAATCGGAATGTGGCAGGTCGGAGAGGCATAATGCTATGAAAATATTGAGACAAATCTAAAGACTAAGATATTACTCAAGACATGTACTGTACTTATGTTTTATGTTTCTCTTGATCGTTCGATTTGTTCACTCCAATTAAATAATCAGCCGGATCAATTATTTCCATTGTCAGATTTTAAATGGAAATTACGACCATGACAAAAACTATGAATTTTGTCCGTGCTCATGCTTTTTGGGAAGGATAAAATGGTTTTATGACTGATCATGATTCTAAGGCACATACCATCAAACTAAGTAGGATGGAGCAAACAAATAATCTACATACCAAGTTCTTTAACCTCCCACTCCGCGCTAGACAGGGTCTCCATTAAGATTGGGAGTAAAGGCCCCAGGATATCTTCCTTGTACACGTTGCTTAGAGCATCAAGCGCAGCAGCACTACACTTCCCTGAGGGAGTGGAATAAAATGTTAAATCTTATGACTAAATTATCCTAGACTCGGTTAAATTGTGAGTGATACAAATAACCGCTATTACTGATTCCAACTAAACCAATTCCATAAGTCACTCACTGAGGTTCCAATCAGCAAACGCCTCGTCGTCCACGTCTTCATCCTCATCCTCAGCTTCACCGCCTTCTCCATTCTTTTCCCCGTTGGCATAGCTTGTTGGTGGGTTCGAGACTTGTGGAACCGAGGCTTAATGTCTTGCTCGTTATCTGGAATCATCTCATCGTCATCCACATCTCCCTGTCAACATTCGATAGGTTAGCTATAGGCTAGCTACAGATTTACACCAATGATGAAAAAATGGCCATTACAATTAATCAGGATACCGGTGGGAAGGTGAACCATATTTATTCTGAAACTCTACCAAATATGGTTCAATTCCTAACAGTATTCAGATCTTTAAATTAGGGATGGTGTTGGAGTCCTCCCGCCCACTTTTAATATTAAATGTCGTGAAATGTCTAAGTTAAAGCTTAGTAAGAAATGGGCCGAATAAGCGAACAGCCGATCACGTGACAGTTTAACTTGACCTGGTTCAGTATCTGGGCAATCAGACCATAAAGTCCAGCCGATCATTGCACACGTTCTAAACTAAGAGAAACCCAGTAACTGTCCTTAATTTCATTACATCTTAGAGAGCGTCGTGAATGGTGGGTACGAATTAGAAAACAGAATCCCGCTACAAGAGCGCGCACTAGATAATTTTGGCGCGCGAATGAGCGCTATATTTGCTACATGTTCCCTTTGCATTGATTTTAGTTGAAATTTTGCTAGTACTAAAAGAGGTTTTAGAGCTGATATAAAGGCGCCACCGGGTACAAAGACGGTATTGTTCAGGGCTCAGAGTAAATTATTACGACACGCGTTTAACTTTGTAAAACGTCACTGTAAGTGCCTTAATGACATTCAAGTATAACTAGGTATCCCAGTACTTATGTCTTAAGTTACTACCATTAAAACTGACTTACCAAAATCAAATTTCTTGAACGTTTCTAATCGTCATCAGTCGCTCTAGTACTAAAATCATTTCTATCCCCCATCACTAGCCCCATGTATATATATATAACAAAGCAGATAAAAGAGTTACTGACATGGAGCGCTGCCTCATCAAGGCCGAATCATCACGTACTTTTGAATCATGTAAAAACCCTGCACTCGAGGCATTCATTAAATGCTGCAGAGCAGAAGTTGATCTCCACCGGCCAACTCAGAAGTATGTTTCACCAGACAACATCGCTGCACCTATCAGATCAGCTCTCAAAGAAGTGAAAGGATGGAAGGATGTGGTTATTAGACCTTTTGACAAAGGGGTAGGATTCTTTCTTCTTGGAGAAGAAGAATATATTCAACGAATAGGTGTACATTTGAATGATAGATCTGTATATAGTATTGTAAATAATGTAGATGATTTAGTTTCAGAATTAATTGATAAAATTTCATGTTGGACAGTCAAGTATAAAGAAGAATTAGGTATGTCTAAGAAGGTCAGGGAGTGGGTTATTCCGTGTACGGAGCTCAACCAGCCTGGTAATATTTACCTGAATCCCAAGGCCCACAAGCCACCTTTGTACCCTGGGAGGATGATTACTACTGGATGTGGTTCGTACATTGAGAACCTATCTGCCCTGACTGCATACGAATTGAAGAAGGCTATTTTAGATTATAGAATTATTGACACCCCTCATTTTTTGAGGAAGATTGATAGCTTGAATGAGTCCACCATATTGTTGGGTAAGGAGGTGATACATGTTGCCATAGATATATCCAACATGTTCACCAATATCCCCAGGGATATGGGGATCCAACAATGCACCAAGCACCTGAATGAAAGAAGTAGTTATGATCAATTGTTCAGTACAGAATGCATTATTAGTGCTCTAGAAATCACTCTTGATTACAACATAGCTTCGTTCAACGGTATAACATACCGTCAGGAGCGTGGAGCGGCGATGGGTCCTAAGAACTCATGTGAGTATGCAGATTGTGCAATGGATAAGATCGATATTTTAGTTAATGAAAGAGATTTAGAACATGGCCCGCCACACAGACCAGCATTCTGGGGTAGGTTGCGTGACGATATATACATGGCCTGGCCTGGTACTGTTGAGGAGCTTCTACAATTTATGGAATGGCTCAATAGTATCCATCCGGACCTTGTGTTTACTTACGACTACTCTAAGGATGGTGTTGAGTTTTTAGACACCTATGTCTATGCTGTTGGCGATGTTATTCATACCAAACTTTACTCTAAGCCCAGTGACACCCACTGCTATCTCATCCCCACCTCATGTCATAGGAGCCATGTTCTCAAAAACATACCCTATGGTGTGGCGAGGCGAGTGAGGCAGAACAATAGTGAAGACACTAATTTCTTAGAGCAAAGGGAGGTATATACTGGTTACCTTGTAGCCCGTGGTTACCATTCTAGTATTGTAGACGATGCTTTCAACAAATTTAGTGATATAACCAATAGGAAAAACTTGTATGCCCCTAAAAATAAGGATGAGACGACTACTTGTCTAATACCCATGGTGATGGATCAGAATCCAGCACTTCCCAACATGGGGAGCATTATTCACAAGTATAAGCACCTTCTTAATCTCGATACAGCCTTGAAGAAGCTAGTACGTGCTGACAGTGTATTTGTAAGTCACCGAAAGAATCAAACTATCGGTGGCATGCTTGTACACAATAAGTATCGTGCTAGTGGAACTGTAAGCAGTGATAGAGATGGAGAAGCCACTGCTAGTCAATTTCTTGAACCAGACGCTGCAATATTGCCGGCTGTTCGGGAGGCTGACAACGCAGGGTGCCATGCCTGTGGAAAATGCTATGTTTGTAAGCAAAGTTTCCTATCCCCTTGTTCCAAATTTAGTAGTCACCATTCTAAACAAGTTTTCCCTATTACTAAATATATAACTTGTCAGAGTAATAACCTTATTTATTTAATGGAGTGTAGAACTTGTAAACAGTCGTATGTAGGATATACTACTTCTAATCTCCCTAAGAGATTTTCTAATCATATGAGCCACATTAAGAAAGGTATCAGAAGTTGTAAGTTAGTAAATCACTTTTTAGATATTGATCATGATTTAGATTTTAGTTCAGTAGCCTTATATAACTCTTCACTTAGTACGCACCTTTCTGTTATTATAGTGGACGCTCTTGAATTTAAACCTGAAATAAGTCAAGCAGATAGGGAAAAGGCCATGGAAGCTAGAGAGGGGTTCTACCAGACCCAATTGAAAACCCTTGAGCGTTATGGGGGTATGAACACCCTCGATAGTAACCACATCCTTTTTAAATCCGCTGGAGCTTAGTGTTTAGTTTATTTATTTTATTTGACATGATCTCAGCCTATTAACCCGTGTTTAGTTTACAATATTGCTATCAGAGACGTGTTATATTCATTACTATTTATATATTTTTACTGCTTGATTCAGAGAAATCTAGCTTTTTCCGAGAAACTAATCTTTAATAGATTAGATAAAATGTACGCAGCCATTATTTTCGTTTGATTATTATTCAGTATATTTTAGTTTTGTACCGTTTTAAGTCACATAGTTTTGTACGTCTTCCTAAGACTTGTTTTCCTTTCCTAGTTTGTAAGTTATTTTAAAGATTTGTGAATATTCCAGTTGCTTTTAGAACAATTTTATCTCAGATAACGATGTTTAATAAAATGATGCAAAGACTTATTTCGAAGATCTAATCAACACTAAGGTTTTTTTTTTACATATTTGATAGATTTACAGATCTGGATTTTCAGAAAAAATCATGTTCGCGGGAAGCAAAAATCCGATGAGTTTTTTAGGGGGGAGGGGTAGGGGGTTGAGGGGGGTTGGGAAGGGTTGTCACATGACGAGAAATTTTTTGCAAAAATTAAACAATCTTTATTTGTTGATATTATTCACCCCTGTTGCCTAGAGTGGTGGGTCTGCACTTGAGAAGAGTGGGTCTGGCCGCTAGAATGGTGGGTCTGCAATCTAGAAGTGGGTCTGGCAACCAGAATGATGGGTCTGTACCCTTAAAGAGTGGTCTGACAACCAGAGTGGTGGGTGTGCACTTGAGAATAGTGGGTCTGGCAGCTAGAATGGTGGGTATGCAATCTAGAAGTGGGTCTGTTAACCAGAATTGTGGGTCTACACCCTTAAGGAGTGGGTCTGACAACCAGAATGGTGGGTCTGCACTTGAGAAGAGTGGTTCTTGCGGCTGGAATGGTGGGTCTGCAATCTAGAAGTTGGTCTAGCAACCAGAATTGTGGATCTGCATTCGAGAATAATGAGTCTTCCCCTTTAGGAGAGTGGGTCTGACAACCAGAATGGTGGGTCTGCACTTGAGAAGAGTGGGTCTGGCGGCTGGAATGGTGGGTCTGCAATCTAGAACTTGGTCTAGCAACAGAATTGTGGATCTGCATTCGAGAATAATGAGTCTTCACTCTAGAAGAGTGGGTCCGGCAACCAGAGTGGTGGGTCTGCACTTGAGAAGCGTGGGTCTGGCCGCTAAATGGTGAGTCTGCACCCTTTAAGAGTGGGTCTGACAACCAGAATGGTGGGTCTGGACTTGAGAAGAGTGGGTCTGGCAGCTAGAATGGTGGGTCTGCAATCTATAAGTTGGTCTGGCAACCAGAATGGTGGGTGTACGTACACCCTTGAAGAGTGGGTCTGACAACCCGAGTGGTGAACTTGAGAAGAGTGGGTCTGGCAGCTGGAATGGTGGGTCTGCAATCTAGAAGTGGGTCCGGCAACCAGAATGGTGGGTGTACGTACAACCTTGAAGAGTGGGTCTGACAACCAGAGTGGTGGGTCTGCACCCTTGAAGAGTGGGTCTGACAACCAGTGTGGTGGGTCTGCACTTGAGAAGAGTGGGTCTGGTAGCTAGAATGTTGGGTCTGCAATCTAGAAGTGGGTCTGGCAGTTAGAATGGTGGGTCTGCAATCTAGACGTGGGTCTGGCAACATGAATGGTGGGTCTGCACCCTTCAGGCTTAAAGAGTGGGTCTGACAACCAGAGTGGTAGATCTGCACTTGAGAAGTGTGGGTCTGGCAGCTGGAATGGTGGGTCTGCAATCTAGAAGTTGGTCTGGCAACCAGAATGGTGGGTCTGCACCCTTCAGGCTTCAAGATCAAGAGTGGGTCTGACAACCAGAGTGGTGGGTCTGCACTTGAGAAGAGTGGGTCTGGCAGCTAGAATGTTGGGTCTGCAATCTATAAGTGGGTCTGGCAACCAGAACGATCGGTCTGCAGTCTGCACCCTTAAAGAGTGGGTCTGCCAACCAGAGTGGTAGATATGCACTTGAGAAGAGTGGGTCTGGCAGCTGGAATGGTGGGTCTGCAATCTAGAAGTTGGTCTGGCAACCAGAATGGTGGGTGTACGTACACCCTTGAAGAGTGAGTCTGACAACCCGAATGGTGGGTCTTCACTCTAGAATAATAGGTCTGGTGGGTCTACACTTTAGAAGAGTGGGTCTGGCAACTAGATTGGTGTGTCTGCAATCTATAAGAGTGTGTCTGGCAACCAGAATAGTGGGTCTGCAATCAAGGGAATCAAGATTAGTGAGTCTGGCAATCAGAATGGTGGGTCTGCACCTTAGGGTAGTGGGTCTGGAAACAAGAATGGTGGGTCAGAATTCTTGAATAGTGGGTCTTCACTCTAGCTAAGAGTGGGTCTGGCAACAAGAATGGTGGGTAAGAATTCTAGAATATTAGTGGGTCTTCACTCTAGAAGAGTGGGTCTGGCAACCAGAATGGTAAGTCTACACTCTGTCAAGTGTCAACCAGAATTGGGGGTCTAAACTAGAATATAGGATATATGGCAACCAGAATTGTGCGTCTGGAGTCTAGAGTCTAGAATAGTGGGTCCGGCAACCCGAAAGGTGGGTGTTTACTCAAGAATAGTGGGTCTGGCAATCGGAATGGTGCGTCTACACTCTAGAAGAGTGGGGCTGGCAACCAGAATGGTAGGTCTTCGCCTTAGAAGAGTGGGTCTGGCAACCAGAATGGTGGGTCTGCATTTTAGAATAGTGGGTCTTGACTCTGTACCTACTAGAAGAGTGGGTCTCCTCTCTAGAAGAGTGAATCTGGCAACCAGAATGGTAATTCTTCACTCTGTCAACCAGAATTGGGGGTCTATGAACTAGAATATAGGAGATATGACAACCAGAATTGTGGGTCTGGACTCTAGAATAGTGGGTCTGGCAACCAAAATGTTGAGTCTGCACTCTAATAGAGTGGGTCTGGCAACTAGAATGCAGACACGTAGCCAAGGGGAAGACCCCCGGAAAAAAATTGAACCCCAAAAAAAATAAGCCCCCTAGTCCCCATGGTCGCCTGGTAAGTGGGCTGTGTTTATGACTGTTTGATTAAACGACACGACAGGCAATCGACTTTAGCATTTCGTAAATTATTCCCAAATCCCACTATACAATATGTACTTATTCCATTCAATGTGACAAGTACTGAGTTCCCCCCTAGCCCCCAACTTTGTATTATTGTGATGTCTGAAATTACAAATTTCTAATGCCAAATGTCGTCTGAAACACCCTATTTCTCAAAAATTTTCCGGGGGCTGCACCCCCAACTTTGTATTATCGCCGGCCTACAAATTTCTTTAATGCCTAATGTCGTCTAAAACAAATAATTTCTAAAAATTTTCTTGGGGGCTGCGCCCCCCCCCCCCCCCCAGTCCCCCAACTTTATATTATTGTGATGTCTGATTATTACTGCGCCCCCCCCCCAGCCCACCAACCTTGTATTATTGTAATGTCTGATTATTGCTGTCTCACAAATGTCGTCTGGAACACCCTATTTCTCAAAAATTTTCCGGGGGCTGCACCCCCAACTTTGTATTATCGCCGTCCTACAAATTTCTTTAATGCCTAATGTCGTCTAAAACAAATAATTTCTAAAAATTTTCTTGGGGGCTGCGCCCCCTCCCCCCCCCCAGTCCCCCAACTTTATATTATTGTGATGTCTGATTATTACTGCGCCCCCCAGCCCACCAACCTTGTATTATTGTAATGTCTGATTATTGCTGTCCCACAAATGTCGTCTGGAACACTCTATTTCTCAAAAAGTTTCCGAAGGCCAGGGCTGCGCCTGCCTAGCCCTCCAACTTTGTATTATTGTGATGTCTGATTATAATTACTGTCCTACAAATTTCTTTAATGTCAAATGTCGTCTAAAACACATAATTTCTCAAAAATTTTCTGATTGGCTGCGCCCCCCCCCCCCCTCCCTAGCCAACCAACTTTATATTATTGTGATGTCTCAGGATTATTACTGCCCTACTAATTTCTTTAATGCCTAATGTCGTCTGAATCAACCTATTTCTCAAAAATTTTCCGGGGGGTGCGCCCCCCTAGCCTCCCAACTTTGTATTATTAGATTATTGTGATGTCTGATTATTACTGTCCTACAAATTTCTTTAATGCCAAATGTCGTCTAAAACACATTATTTCTCAAAAATTTTCTGGGGGGCTGCGCCCCCCCCGGCCCCCCAACTTTATATTATTGTGATGTCTGATTATTACTATCCCCAAATTTCTTTAATGCCAAATGCCGTTTTAATCACCCTATTTCTCAAAAATTTTCCTGGGGGTTCGCTCCCCTAGCCCACCAACTTTATATTATTCTGATGTATGATTATTGCTCTCCTACAAATTTCTTTAATGCCAAATGTCGTCTGAATCACCCTATTTCTCAAAAATTTTCCGGGGGTTGCGCCCCCCCCCCCCCCCCCCCCAGCCCACCAACCTTGTATTATTGTAATGTCTGATTATTGCTGTCCTACAAATGTCGTCTGGAACACCCTATTTCTCAAAAATTTTCCGAAGGCCAGGGCTGCGCCCCCCTAGCCCCCCAACTTTGTATTATTGTGATGTCTGATTATTACTGTCCTAAAAATTTCTTTAATGCCAAATGTCGTCTAAAACACATAATTTCTCAAAAATTTTCTGGGGGGCTGCGCCTTCCCCCCTCCCTAGCCAACCAAAGGAGCTTCGCCCCGGCTACGTGTCGTGTCGGGCTACGTGCCGAGAATCGAAAAAACTTAATCTTTAAATGAATAACGGAACCTTCATTATGAAGTTACGAGATGATAATATAATTGGGAGGCAAAGTGGGTATCGGGCTTGGGGCTCATAATGCGCAAAATTTGGCCGCTGTCGAGTGGGTCTGCCTAAAATTCACAGATCTAGCTATGGGTCTGAGACATTTGTAAAAAAAAAACCTTAATCAACACCGACTTTTAATGTGTAGGAGTACAGCTACAAAATATATATATATATATACGTATATATATATATACGTAACAGTTCGTTACACTTTAAAACCCACCCACGATAAATAATCTAATTAATTAACTAAGTAAAGTGACAAACCTTGAGTAGGATGATATCAATCTCAGAGTACTTCATACCCTGTATAAGTATTGGAACCAGCCTGTAAATGTTGACGTTAGTGTCACCATGCGCTGTTTAACAAACCTTAACATAGACTTAGCCAGTCCAGAAAATTCTACACAACCTCTCAATAGTAGGTTAGCATATCAGTAGATCACATACTACAATTCTAGAATAATTCTATATTTGGAATAGAATATTCTGTGTCAAATATAGAATAACTAGCATTGGAATAATATAATTGGTAATAAAATAATAATTAATGAAAGGACAATCCAGTGATGTTGATGACTGACCTTCCCATGTAAGGAGATAACATAGATAACACTTCTGTAGGTAACTCAGCGTAGGCCAACCAAAACTCACAAGCTTCCAACGCTACATTCTCATCAGGATCCTGAGTCCTTATCAGCATGTACTGAAATGATAACCAGTCATTGCACTGAATAGTACTGAATATATTTATGTAAGCATTGAATATTCCTGAATTATATAATGTTCCTGGTACCGCAAGACATTGTATAACGGTGAGCTAAATTTAGATAACGCGAATACGAGAAGTGTGTAATTAGGCATAATCTAATGATAATGATAAAGTGTGTATTAGTATTATAAGATAAGCGTTAGTTTTAGCAATTTGGAAACGGCGCTGAAGATTGCATTGTGTGATCGTAGGGCTTCGATTCAAGACCGTATCGATTCTATGGAAAACTGTGTGTCTCTCTCTTAGAGTTGAACAACGAAGATTAAAAATTTGGGTATTTAGAAGCAGCCATTCATGGGTTATAAGATTGTTCGTATTGTACAGTATAATGATTGATGTGCCAGCACGGGTGCACTTATTCTGTCCTCGCTCGCCAAGTCAAAATATTATACAATATACTTGTAATTTGTAATTTGAGTCGCTGGCCTGTTTAGTGTACAATTGAGATGTGATATAACATCATTGTTAAACGCACTATTTCATGCAATGAGATATAGATTTTGATACTTTCAACACTTCACGTAAACATAATGCACACGTACAAATTCCGTGAGTGCCTGGCAATTAAGTATCATTTGAGAATTCTCCCATGTGCAACATTCCCTCTCAGTCTTTATTGAATAATACACAGTACTTATTCCTGTACTGAGATAAACCCATTAGACACCCAATTACAAATTACAAACCTCAATAATATCGTTCATATGAGGAGCGAGGTGGTCCACCCTGACCTCCAGCAACATAACCAACGCCCGACATACGTTCTTCCGCACTTCAGGATCATCGTCCGAGGCTAGCAACGTCAGCCCCTGCGAATATTCACTTATAATATGTATAGTACATAATAAACTTGCTCTGCTTTAACATTAAAGAGACATAATAAAAATACTAAACTTGCTACTTGTATTCGTTAAATCTTTAACTATTGTTTCTAAACACGCCCAAGTCTAATTTTTGTCTCATCACTGCACTTCTGCCAAAATGTCTTGTCGTATGCTAGATTATTCTAGATAATGCAGATCTAAATATATTATCTTTTAATAACATTGTTACTTTGCAGTTAACGATCAAAGTCTCATCATGACTGGCTAAAATTAGCATACTGCTAACAGTTACAATGTTGTTACATTGTCCCAACATTAAAATGTATCCAGAAATATTAACAGCTACAATCTACATTTAAAATAACGTTTCTCAAACAAATTTTTGCACACACAGGGAGATGTACTTTTAGCTATAAAAACACCATGATATCTAAATTTTATATGTATAAAGTATACTGTGTATTTGGTGTAATACATTTTACACTGCAAATATTTTCCTGCTTCGGTAGTTCATACTTATTAAAATACCCAATAATTGGTGAGGAAAAACAGGTCACGTGATTAAGAGATCACGTGATATATTACCTGTACAAAGTTGCCAAGGTTTTCCAGTAGGGCCGGAGGGAGGTTGATAATGAACTGGTTGATACACGCCAGTGCACAGGATCTGGGAGTATTACATTTATAAATTTCAAATTATAACTTTATTTAATCAAATACTGCTATCATAACCCATTACCCTTCATTTAAATAATAATTATATTTAAATTGTCTGAATTATTTACTTGGCTTGATGAGCTAAATGGAATGACGATATTTAAATTTATCATTACCATAATTGGGTCTCTAGAGACACTTAAATTTAAATAGGATAACCGAAGATTGCACTGTAACGTAAAAATGACACATGACCGTCATTGACCGACATCACATACGTCATGTGTTACAAGCTCCATGCGTGCTATTAAACACTGCACTGTAAATCTTTTAAAATTCATAACCACATGCTGCGAATTCTAGATATAATTCATCTGTTTGGCAACTGAGTTATTTCAACACATGACAAATAAGTCAGATATTGCGGTCGGGGGGACTCTCACAGTTGTAATATTTCAACCCATGATACGGTCACATCTGGTGCTTCGGGTGGCCACCCAACATGTGCCCAATACCCACCTAATATACGCTCTGAATTTGCAGCGTTGAAATAGTTTGATGACATGTCTTCAGACAGAACATTTCAACGTATCAAGGCGTGGTGACAATATGGGTAATGGTAAAATTATGCAATATCCCAGGTTATATAATGCAATATCAAAGTTAATCTTAAATCTTATGCAATATGTCAGGCTATATTGTGCAACTTTATAAGCACTTAAAAGTGGTGGAGTTTATCTCACATCTGGTAGTTGGTAATAATATTTGTTCCTCATTTGCATTGTTCAAAACCATTTTATCTACTGAGTAAGTTATTAAATGGCCCCTCAGGCACTCCACTAATCATACCACCTTTGTAAACAGAGTTAATATTATGGAATATATGAAATTAATTTTACAATAATATCTTCCTTAGTGCAGATCTGTCATAATTAACAGCAGACAGTCCGATTTTAAGTATTTAGTATGACAGGAGTTTAGATTCACTAAACAGGCATCTCCATCACTGTACTGGGTGCTATATGCTACTGCACTATATTCTGCACTATATTATTATATGGGTATTATGCTCTATGTGTGACAGGAGTTTATATTTCACTAAATGGGCGTCTCCATCACTGGGCGACTGGTCCAACCAAAGCTATTTCGGGGAGTGGGCCCCTCCCAAATGGTATTCATCATTATATCATAAGCCTCTCTAAAGTAATACCAACATGATGCAGTTGAAGAATTGTAAGAATGTACCATTCTAATAATTTGGGCCACATTCTATTTGTTATTCATGATATTGCAGTGTCAAGTGTGCATATATTATATAACTTATAAGACCTGATATATCATACATGATATTACCACTAAATTTAGTAGCTGGTGTCGATAGGTGGTCTCTTGCTAATAACAAAAAGTTACTGTTGATTTGAATGATGCAACACGCTTGCAGGAACATCAACTTATGAACTCAACTTATTTCATATATCTCCTCAAAGGAACCTGTCAAAATGGAACGGAATTGTATCTAGTAATATTACACGATATTCTATTGGAGATGTCGCTGCATTATATGCTTTGACCTATATGTTCCACTATAGGCTGCATTATACGCTGCACTACATATCTCTCTCGACCACTTGCTAAGGTATCAAGATTCTTACTAGGATACCCCTTCAGTAAATCTACATTGTAGTGTACTGTAAACATAGTACCATTAACTATTATTACTATAATCAAGAATACCGCACCAGAAGACCGCAATCCCATTATTACGATTAATTATTCAATGTAATATGATAATAATACACGTATCGCTTCATTTGATCTATATTATTATTGTAATGATGAACGTGGACCAACCACCACATTACAGCACACTGTAAACTTTACGATTAGATGAGCCATGATGTTGAACTAAAGTAGCGTATTGAGGGTCAATTAGCAAGGTGTAAATGATCTTACTTTGCCGCCGCTTGAAACTATGAGAAACCACTTTTAAATGGTTACATAATTTACGTAAACGTAGCCCTAGGGCCGGGTAGGTAGAAACCACAACTCTCATTATAGCACTCGTGGAATGCAATGTTATGACGTCATGAAATATGCTGTGACGACAATATAAATAAGTTTTACGCAGTTCTGTTTCGACGCAGTCTTGTCATTCAACCGTGCGTGTTATTAAAATAAACATATAATTGGTGAAATGGTTAACGCCTGTCGGTGATTAGGGTAATTGTTGAGGTGCAGCGGTGCGGGGTAAACGGTGAACAAGGCCTATAAACCGGCTACTAAACACTTAAATTATCCTTGAGGAAAAATAAGTTCAATATAAAGAATTAGTAACGATCTAAGAACCATAAATAAACGTTAGGTCTAGGGCGTACTATGCCTAGTAGGCTTTGTCTCAATATATAACATAATTATAAAAGAATTCACGCCAGAAAAACAAACGAAATAGCTAAGAATTATAAAACGAGTTGTAATGTGACATGATAATTGAATGGGATCTGATTGTCTACCTAAACCCAGGGGCACCTAGGTCCTAGCACTAAAAGCTCAAGACCTACATAACAGTCTACCAAAACTACAATCAGACAGTTATCTCAGCAACAAAACGTTCGGCGTTATACCATACTGTCCACAGTGGTCCACCAGGCTATAATTGACCCAAAATCGAGTGTCATGAAATTCTGTTTATCCATTTGTTATTTATCATAAATTATCAGCCGGTACATATGCTGAAGACGATAATTAAAAATCTTTCAAAATGTGGAAATGATGTACGATAATATCAACGATTTTTTTACACTGTCCAAAATGCAAGCAATTGGCAGTGAAAATTGGCCTACATCTGACTTTATATTCATAAAGCAGTGTATATTTGCATTTACTTACTCTTGTTGTTGCTGTTTTACGTGTCGAATACCTGTCTAATGAAAAAAAATTCATGTTGATATCTATTTTGGTTGATTTTTCATGTACCCTCAAATTTTAAACCCACTTTTTAACTAAAATTTTGGTTTTAAAATATAAAAATGTTAGGTAGTGCGCTCGAGTGCACCTAAACCACCTATGGCATCCTAAAGTTCAGACAATTATCTAACTAGCCATACAAAATTCAAGCTGGGACAAGCTGGGACTTTTTTTTAAATCAGCCACGCCCATATTTGGTCCCAATTATCCAAATTATGCAAAATCACCTTAACATGCTCAAAACCATCCTTTGGGGTGCTTTACTTGTAGCTACTAGTCTCCTAAACACAAATATAAAGTTTTATCAAAATTTGATAAAAATTGGCTGAGTTATGAGCAAAATACTATATGACCATATTTGGGCATACGCGCCAATTTTGATAGATTTTTATAGATTTTAGCACATAAATTGGCCAATTATCAATATTTTTGGATGAGACAAATTTTATATGTTAGGTAAGCCTATACTTCACATTCTCTATGAATATCAGCTCAATATCTACCTAACTGTGGATTCTGTGTTCAAATAATGGCAAAATATGAACAAAATTGCCCATATCTCAGTTCGCGACATTCGCGAAACTGATTTCGCTCAAAATACTATAACTCAATAGGGTTTCAATATTTTTTAATGAAATTTTCAGAATCAACGTAGAATTGCCTGAGGACCTTAAGTTATGGAGTAGAATTTTGAGTCAGGCCTTTTAAACAAATTTAGCGGCCAAATTCTAAAATTTTCAGGGTATTTTTGGAAAAAAATCAATTTTTTGATTTCCCATTTTCAGCCCTTCTGGTATATTTTAAGGTCTTCTAGGTGCTCTTAAACGTCTTTTTGGGCGAAAATACTCCAGGAAACATCTCCTGAGGCAACAAAATGACCTATAAGGGGTCTATTATAGCCTGACCCCCCTTCGCGGACCACTGTGCTGTCTGCGTTTACAACATACTGCACAAGTTTTTTCACAGTCTGCAGAAAATAATCTAGAAAATATTGGAGGAAACTCAGCGATGTAGCGGTTGAAAACAGACGTAAACTGAACAAGATAGCCAGATGTGCGTGAGGATAAGGAACTGAAAACTCAGTGGAGAGGACTTGAAACCATATTGTGTAAACTATTTAGTTATAAGGGTAAGTAGCGGGGTAAGTAGCGGGGTAAGTAGCGGGGTAAGTAGCGGGGTAAGTAGCGAGGTAAGTAGCAGGGTAAGTAGCGGGGTAAGTAGCGGGGTAAGTAGCGGGGTAAGTAGCGTGGTAAGTAGCGGGGTAAGTAGCGGGGTAAGTAGCGGGGTAAGTAGCGGGGTAAGTAGCGGGGTAAGTAGCGGGGTAAGTAGCGGGGTAAGTAGCGGGGTAAGTAGCGGGGGGCGAGTAGCGAGGTAAGTAGCGGGGTAAGTAGCGGGGTAAGTAGCGGGGTAGTAAAATATACTGTGTTTCGTTTCGAGTGTAATACACGTATCGCTTCATTTGATCTATATTGTAATGATGAACGTGGACCAACACGTATCAGCACACTGTGTACTTAACAATAGGAGGTTGGACCTAAAGTAGCGTATTGAGGGTCAATTAGCAAGGTGTAAATGATCTTACGTCGCTTTAAAATGATTGCATAATTTACATAAACGTGGCCCTAGGGTAGTATATAGGTGGAAATTACAACTCTCATTACGGCCGCGTGGCATGCAATGTTAAGACGTCATGACACGTGACGTGACGACAGTGTGTTTGACGTAGTATTGTCACTTTAAACCGTACGTAATCTAAATAACTCATTTTTCTGGACTCAAGAATCCGGGCCGGAGTCGCATGCTTACTGATATTATCTGATTCTACCTATTTTATAGAGTCGACTTCACATCGAAATTCCTAATAGTCTGATTTTTAGTTGATTCCAGAATTCAGGTCGATGAAAGCTTCGATAAAAGCATTTACAGCTAGAATATCTATACATGCTCACCAAGTCAATGTTGTCTCTCATTAATGAGCCGCTAATCAGAATATACACTCCTCCAAATACGAACTCACTGCTGTGCTGGCGTAATGAGCGAGACTTTACTTGGCTGTGGGTTGATCAGAAGATGTGATGGCCCTATTAAGTCTTGACGAAAATCAACATGGGTCACATAGCAAGGCCAGAGCTGCTGATACTGTAATATCTTGAACGAAGGGAGCTAACTTGATTTCAAGAACAAATTATGTCCGAACTAGACACAATGTGCTTTGTGTATTTTCAAATGATATATATATGTGAGTCGAGTATAAAAGGAAAGTCGAGTATAAAAACCGCAATATAGCTAGCTGAACAATACAAGGAAACGCTGTGTATTAACTATTAATATGTAAGCTCATAACTTGGAGAGCTAGTATTATTTTATTTAATTCATTTATTTGGCCACTAAAAGTTGAAGGAAATTAGAATATTGCTGATACAATTATCGCTTCTTTCAGTTTGATATACCGATCAGAAAATGACATAATGATAGAGTGATCTAATCAATAAAACAAAAGGGCTCGGATTATTAGATCAATGATAAATCAAGGCTAAAGATTCTGAAGAACAATCGAGTATTAAACAGGAACTCGATTATCTATACTATCTAGATACAACAGAATAATTATCCATCTCGAGACAACAGATCGTTTAGGTTTAAGGATACGATCTGACGGTTTGACATTGTGCACCACTCACCAGTATTAGTGACACCTCATGATGTGAATTTAACAAAGGAATAATAATAACCTGATTTTACTGGAGGAATGCTTAAAGTATTGCATGAAGAGAGGTATTAACGTGTCCAGGGCTTTGGTTCCGTTAGCACCGGGAAGAGTTTCCAGTTGGTCTGAGGAATCTTCACAGATCTTCTGAAATGCTCCGAATGCTCCCTGAACACGGAAATAGTTATACAATAAAAGGGTATATTATTATGATGACGTCACAGAAAATACATAATAATTTCAGTGGTATGGTTTGAATGTCAAATAAAGTATTAGTATTGCTGTAGCACTAGACTAGCAGTTCACCAAAGACCGCCTCCAGTTCACCTTGGTTCAGTGAATTTATTAGAAATTATACTACAGCAGTGATTGTTTGGTTACATAAACTAGTGCAGCAAATCTGCTCAGGGATTGTACGACTAATCAATTAGTTGTATTTCGATTTTTTAATTTCAATTATACAATTATATAATTAGTTTCAATTAAATTACCTCGCACTCAGTTAGGGTTTGGCTCCCAATCATTGTGCAGAGATGCTCGAGTAGGCCCGGCCAATCTTCCAAACTTCCTTTCGTTACTATGGTAGTACACAGTATACCAACCGTTGCTCTTATCAATGAGGAAGGGTCACCTGACAGAGTGAGAGTAATAAAATTTGTATGAGTAATAATTTGTCAGAACGAATCCCAACACCGAATTATTGGATATGGGAATCTGCCGACTCGTGTGGGCCCAAGCAATAAAATGAGATCACTACCGACAATTTTAAGAGAACGAGTGTAAATGGATTTGAACACATCAGGACCACTGGAGCCGAGTGGATTGAAGGGTCTCAAAAAGCATGAACGAATATATTCACATAGAAGCTTCAATAAAATGTGTTAGATTTACCTATACAGGCTAAACATTGCTGCTTTATGAACGATTTTACTTCAGGTGGAAAGTTGTGGTAGAAAACTTTAAGATTATTCTTCAAAATAAGGCCGGCCAGCGACCTAGTAGGTTCATCTGAAATAGAAGAAGATTAATTTTTGTTTGGTGTATTTCGGTTAATAATAATAATCAAGCCTTAAACCTAAGGTGAACAGATCGAAAATAGGAACAATCATTTTTACAGTACTGAGAGTTAACGGTACAAACATTTTGAAACTATCTAAAAAGAAGGAGCTTTGAAAATCATACCTTCTGTAGTAAGTTTTGATAAAACGTAGATAAGGTAGTTGTTAAAATCGTGGTACTGATTTAATGATTCCAATTTCTGAAAGAAATAGAAGTTGAGTGAAATTTAACTGATAATTGTTTAATCTGCTAGTTGGCAACCATGAGCACTGGACATAAACATTTTCAATACATCAGAACCAATTTCGTCACGATAATGCACTTTATGATTACTTTATTATAATTAAAATATGCTCAATAATTTACCTGCTGGATAGCGCGCTGTGTTTCATTACAGGGAAATTGTGATTCTTTCAAGAGCTGAATAACTTGAATCAAACTGTTGTTGTCTGGCTGCCAATTTGCCATAATTCTTAGCTAAATATATGCTGTTAAGTTGGAGTTGCTCAACAAAAGGCAAAATACTAAATTATATATGAACATTTGACATGTTCATTTGAAGTTAAAGATATTGACCTAAATATTAGTAATCCTATTAAAAGGCAGAGTAGTTAACTTTGTCACACTATGAAATTATATAAACCCCGCATGGTTATGATAATCGGCTTATCCTCTAGAGAAACTTTGCCACATAGCATAACCACATCTTAATCAGATGATAATATATCACCTTAATACGGCTGACATGGAAATGGTTACATTGTCCCACTATGATGATGATTTCGAGAGAGTTTCCATGAACACAGTCATGGGACCAAAAGAAGCTGATAGATGCCACTCCCCTCTATCATTAACATCAATAAACTCAATTTCAAAAGAATTTCCATGAACAGAAGTAACCCTCATTATTGTTGCAATAAATTTGAAAACACGTTTGTTTAAAGTGAAACAAATTTTTACAGTGAAACAAGTTACAACAGAGTTAAACCTCATCTGAAAAATTTTGGTGAGAACCATCAGTTCTGAATGCCTCAATGGCCAGATTATATCACTGAACAGAAAACAATTTGAGCACAATGAAATTAATTAGAGTATAATGCAATGGTAACAATTTTAGCACAATGATAACAACTTGAGCACATTGAAAAGTACTATTCTAATTATCTAAATTATTAAATATTTATTGGTGCTCCAAAATTGTATAATTCATTTTAATGATAAGATTTTTTAGATTGATTGAAATAAATTTTCGTGCACATACAGAATGAATGGTTAATAATTTAATATATATGGGCAATTCCACGTAGTGTAATTCACACTTTGCACAAAATTTAGCTTTTAATTGCATGCTAATTGTAGGCTAACATTAGCAGCATGATAATATAAAGTCAGAATGAAGTTTAAACGTTTGTGATGATGTGGCAACCAAAGTTTAATGTCTATCTCTTATACTTTTTATGTGAGCAGCATTTTAAAAAGTAGGCGTTATTCACAGGCATAATTTGGTGTTTTAGAAATCTTGCCTTAAAATTGCAATTCGTGCCCAAGTGTAATAGCAGAAGTTACAATAAGGCTTGATCACAATAAAGTACACATTTTTTCAACTTCCTATGTCCTTCCTAACATAAATTTGTGGAATGTGTGTAGTACAGGGACAATATAGGAAGTAAACGTTATTCACATTTGGACGTAGTGTAACTCACACTCTGCCCAGTTGCTCTGTTTGTGCGTTGTATTGATGTTTGCTTGTTCTTAATTTGGTTGCTGCTATTGTAAAATGGTGAAGTAGACTGACTATTACTGATTTTAAATTAAATTGACTACTAATTGGTCCAATTAGATACTGGTAATGGTGTAGATTACACCCTACTGCCATACCACAGTGGTCCGGGCGCCCATGCGAGGTAGACATAAGACATAGGCATGACTAAGGGGTATGATATACCACAAAACATGTATTCTAGGGGTATCTTGCCCCAAAATAACGTTTAAAAAGGTTTTTAGAGTGATTAAATGGATATTTGACCTCAAATATTAATTTTACCTCATTTTTTGTCAAAAACTGCATTTTTTGGCAATTTTTTGCCATTTTTTAGGACAAACTACAAAAATAAGTTGCAAATTAACTTTGGTAAGCATCTATAAGTTGATCTATCTGTAAGTATAGGACATTTAGAGTAATCCTAGAAACATGTACAGTGTAATATTGTGGCATGATTTTTTTATGAGCTCTCAAAGGTTCATGATTAGACAGAAATTGGGTGAAATTTATAACTTTTTGAATCCATTTTTAGACCATTTTATCACTTATATCAATTCTAAACTACTTCTTTGTGTTTTTAATGTGAAGAGGTCATCAAGAGCTTTAATTTGATACCTCTATACATGGTTTTTGATATAAATTAGAATTTTTTGGGGCAAAAACACTGCTCTTTTGAGCAAAATTTAGTTACGTGACAAGAAAATAAGGTAATTTTAGCCCCAAATTGCTGATATTTTCTGAAAATAAGCCTTTAAATTACTCAAATAAGTGTTCCCAGACCTAACAGTGACTATAAAACACTTTAAAATCAATTTTGATGTCCTAATCCATTTAAAAATCATTATTTTTGCGATTTAAGGTCTAAAAGTGGCACATTTTGCCCTGGCGGAACCCTAATTTCGATAAAATTACCAACACTTTCAGGCAGTTGTTGAAAATAGGTCCCTGGAATTACCCTGGAAGTATTGAAAGTACAATTTATTTCACAACAAAGCATTTAAACCACTTGTTTTATTAATTTTCCGCTGTGTAAATTACACTACCAAGCTGTGAATTACGCTACCTGTGAATCACACTACCCCTACTTTTTGCACTTCCAGTGTGACAAAACGAATGAAATTTTCTGACCTTTATAGATGACTAAAGTTGCCGTTAGAGAGAGAGTTACGAATCAAACAGACTTATAGTGTAGCCACAGTAAAACATTTTTCACTATTTGGTAGCGTTATTCACACGCGAAGAGGAAAAATTTGATCATCTAGACACTCAAAAAGTAAAGAAATTTGGCCCTCAAAATCAGGCTGGCCTTCTATCTGAAGACCACTAGGTTGATATACAGGATAAAATATTGAATTCTACAATTAATAAAGCTCCCTAAAATCTTTCGGAAAATAACTGGATATTCACACTAAAGATACACTAAATTTAAGCCAACTTTGACGCGCTACAGTTTTTAAACTAGGCTAGATATCAACAAACGGTTTTTTGCCCCTAAAAATATGGTCAAATATCTTAAAGATTTTCTATCTCTCCCAAACCACCTCCAAACTTTATTATTTTGTTACTGGTTACCGTTATCGTGGAATTGCCCATATGTAGACCAAGGTCTGTGCACGGGATGCTTCCTGGAAGAATCCAGTTCTTTTAGCGGGGCACCCTACCTAAAGCCAAATTGAGATATAATAATCATATTCCTAGAGAAATAATCAGAAATCGAATACCAATCAAATAATATGATATATAGGAGTAGTAACCATATTTACTATGCAAAATGCCCCAACCACATAGTGTAAATTTATATAGAATTCAAATTCCATATCATCATTAAACCTCAATAGTCAATATAATAGCCCAAGCAAAATTAAGTAACTTCTTATATACCTTACTGTCATACTACTAATTAATTAAACATTTGAAATCTGTTAACCAGAGAAAAAATTTCTAAACCTAATGCAAGTGAAATAATTTAGATGCAATAATGAATGCCTAATGTGAGTATCATCTGTCAATGTCCTTGTAAAAAAGTCTGTAAAAGAGATATGAGTAACTAATATAGAAGAAAAAACAGGAAGTTGTCGTCTGTTGAAAAATAAATAAAATATCTAGAATATAAATTAGAATATAAAATAACATTCAGTCAGTGTGTCGTCAATAAACTGTACAATTAACAAATGTTGAAACTGGTTGATACAGTCACCAAAAATAAAATACTAAGTATAATAAGTAAATAAATTAAATGTGGTCTATAAAACTACCACTAGGTATAATAGGTCAATAAATTAAAAGTGGTTTATAAAACTACCACTGTGCGAACCCTTTCTCCAGTTAAAACATGTCAGTCATGTGCAGAATCAATCAAAATGGTAAGGTGGTAAAAAAGGGAAAATCCTTTCGATACATAAATTATATATGCCTCAGATTTAAAAGAATTAGAAGATACTTAGTTATCGTCGACTATGATTGCAGTGTAAAATTTGTCATATGAATTGTCGACAGTATAATTAGGGTCTGTTGTTATAGATGAGAGTAGCTGTTTCTTATACGAATCACTAAGGCTTTTAACATCGGGCAGATTTCGTAGATCTGTTGGAACATTATTCCAACATTTTGCCCCCAAGTATTGAAAGTTTTTATGTGATGTTGATCTATTAACATATAGGTTGCAGCTTTCGCCGCTCCTACTACCTCCTGATATGTAACTAAATTTGTTCATAAAGTTTGTAGGACAATTGTCATGGATGATTCTAAACATATAATTTGACAGATGGAGTTGTCGTCTAAGATGGAGTGGTAACCATTTCATGTCTCTATAAACATTAAGGCTGCTCTCTGTTTGTGGAACGTTGAGAGCTATTTTGGCTACCTTTTTGTACAGAGTGTCAAGTTCAGCAAGTTTTGTCTTGCCAGCTCTACAATAGATCGTGTCTAAATAATCGAATTGTGGCAACATGAGTGCATTGGCAAACATTTTCCTATATTTAATGGGTAGCAGTGCTTTACTTCTATACATGGCACCAATTCTCTTCATGACCTTCCTAATAATATAATCTACATGACTTTTGAAGTTTAATTTACTATCTAGAATGAGGCCAAGATATTTTGTCTCTTTGCACTCCTTGATTGTGAAAGTTACCTCATTACATTCAATGGTTAATTCATCATGTTGATCAACAGAATCAAACAATAGGAATTCGGTCTTCTTTTCATTGAGTGATAATTTATTTACACTGAGCCATTTAAAGATTGTCATAAGTTCTATTTTCATGTTTATAAATGTGCTTCTGCAGGTTTGATCAAAGAATAGTGCACCATCATCTGCAAATAGAAAGGGCTTAGATAGGTTACAGGCATAAATGATGTCATTTATGAAGATACTAAATAATATAGGCCCAATGATGCTTCCTTGTGGTACACCACTCAGAACTTCTAAAAATGAGCTTATTTTGCCATTGATCCTAGTGCATTGATATCTACAAGATAAGAAGTTCTTAAACCAGGTTAAAGCAATGCCACCAATTCCATAATATGCCAATTTTTGAAGCAATATTTCATGATTCACTGTGTCAAAGGCCTTCTTAAGATCAAGAAAGATGATTCCTGGTTTATAAGACTTAGATTTACTCATATATATTTCGTCCATCAGATCGTACATCAAATAAGTTGTGGAGTGATTTTTCCGAAAGCCATATTGATGCCGGATGAAAAGTTTGTTCTCTTCCATGTAATC